ATTGTTTCTTAGAGTGAAGGGTGTGACCCCTGGTTCTCAGCAGTTTTCATACTTGGGAGACCTGCTTTCTCTAGGCTCAGTATATGTGTTAGTGACTTAGCAATTGAAACAAGTCCATTTGGATTTTTTCCTGCATTTTTAGTGTGGACAGATGGAATAAGCTTGCCTATTAAAAGAAATACAGTTCCTGTATGAACTTCATTTCAAGGTAACTAAATAATAGATAAGGGAAATTGATCCCTGGTAGAATTCCAGTTTTGCAACTCATAATGGAAAAATGCTAGGTAGTGATCATCAATGACTGCTAAAATCGTGAGGTGAAAACTGGTGGATACTTTATACATAATGAAATAGACCAACACCTGAACCCATGACCAACCTGATCAATACTAAGACGGAGACTTTATGTTCATCTTGATGTGATGCAGAAGGAAAGACAGAGTATCCCTTTTAAGTATTCTTGGAAAAAAAAAAGATCAAACCCAAATCTAGGCCTCCAGTTTACCTGTTTATTGGAAATAAACACAGTGAATAGAGGAATATGTTAAGCCACATCTCAGGTATAAATCAGTCAAATCCAAAATATGGGAAATTGTATAGCTTTGCTACTTTCAAAGTATGGTTTACAAACCAGCAGTGTTGATGTCTCCTGAGACCTTGGATAAAAATGCAGATTCTCAGGCCATGTCTGTGGCCAACTGTTTCAAAATTGCATTTTAACAAGATTCCTAGGTAATTCTCTTGTACCTAAAGTTTAGAAAGCATTGTACAGAGCACTGACCTAGGAAAAACTATTATAGTTTAAAAGAAAGTTAAATGTCGTATATTTTTTATATCTTTATTTGAACAAATTAACTATAAAAACATTTATGTGATAACTGAAGAAATGTATTAAGTCTATATAAGATGATGATATAGAGTTATTGTTAAAATTTTAGATGCAATGTTATTGTGATTTTTTTAAAGCCCTTAACTCCCAGAGAAGATACATACTGAAGAGTTTAAAATAATCTAAAGCATGGGAGTAGAAAAAGTATAAAGTATGATTAGTTGTATACTGACAATTTTGAAGCTGAGTAGTGGGTATATTGGGATTTAGTATACTGACTTTTTAGGCTGGGCACAGTGGCTCATGCCTGTAATCACAGCACTTTGGGAGGCTGAGGCGGGCAGATCACAAGGTCAGATGTTTGAGACCATCCTGGCCAACATGATGAAATCCTGTCTCTACTAAAAATACAAAAAAATTAGCTGGGCATGGTGGCATGTGCCTGTAATTTCAGCTACTCAGAAAACTGAGGCAGGAGAATCAGATCCCAGGAGGCGGAGGTTGCAGTGAGTCGAGATCGTGCCACTGTACTTCAGCCTGGGTGACAGAGCGAGACTCTGTCTCAAAAGAAAAATGTATTTATACACCGACTTTTGTGAATGTAAGTATTAGTTTTTTTTTAAAAAGGCATAGAATTGTGGTTTAAAATGGCAACGTTAAAGGTGACAAATCAACTTTTAGTGTTCAGGCAGTTATGAAGGAAACCTTTCAGGCCTGCAAGGATACATTTACAAAACGAATAATGTAAAACTATGAAACCTGAAGGGAGGGATTGAAACCACCTTTGCAAAAATCATAACTGAGAAAATTATGGCACTTAAAGAGATCTAACCTAACTGTGACTCCATCTTGCTTCTAACCCTTAAGCTGTTCTGGTTCATTCCAGGGCATAAGCTGAACTAACTTTGGGAGGAACTTTGTTTATAGTTTAAAATAAAGACTATAACAGATTTTCCCGAAACAAACCTCCTCCTTGCCTGAGGACTAGACTGCCTTTGTGGGACTAAGAAACTTCCTATGATTTCATCCCTGAACCAGTCAATCTGTACTTCTGATTCACTGGCCCCCTACTCACCAATTTATCCTTAAAATCTCTGATCTCCAGAAAATCTCTGATCTCGACTCAGGCAGGTTGGCTCACTCCTGTAATCCCAGCACTTTGGGAGGCCGAGGCAGGCAGATCACCTGAGGTTGGGAATTTGAGACCAGCCTGACCAACATGGAGAAGCCCCATCTTTACTACAAATACAAAATTAGCTGGGTGTGGTGGCGCATGCCTGTATTCTCAACTACTTGGGAGGCTAAGGTAGGAGAATCTCTTGAACCCAGGAAGCATAGGTTACATGAACCGAGATTGCACCATTGCACTCTGGCCTGGGGGACAAGAGTGAAACTCCGTCTCAAAAAGGAAAAAAAAAATCTCTGATCTCTGAGTTTTGGGAGAGACTGATTTAAGGAATAATAAAACTCCAGTCTCCTGCATAGCCAGCTCTGTGTGAATTACATTTTTCTATATTGCAATTTTCCTGTCTTGATAAATCAGCTCTGTCCAGACAGTAGGCATGGTGAACCCCTTGGGCAGTTACAAAATCATATCTGAAAATGTTCTCAGTATCATAGCCATTATATCAAATCAAATGTCATCCATTCTACTTGAGTAATTCAGAGAAAGCAGGAAACAGTGTTTCATTACAGAAAGATGTTAAATATATGATTTGCTTCCTGGGCCTTAAATGTAGAAGGACATTAAAATTGGCCATCATTGGCAGGGTGTCATTGGCTGGGCGCAGTGGCTCACACCTATAATCCTAGCAGTTTGGGACCAAGGTGTGCAATCACTTGAGGTCAGGAGTTGGAGACCAACCTGGCCAACATGGTGAAACCCTGTTTCTACTAAAAAAATATATAAAAATAAGCCAGGCATGGCATTGCACACCTGTAATCCTAGCTTCTTTGAAGGCTGAGGCAGGAGTCAAGATCCTGCCACTGCACTCCAGCCAGGGTGACGGAGCAAGACTTTGTCTCAAAAAAAAAAAAAAAATTAAAAATTAAAAAATTTAATTGGCTATCTAAAAGTGAAATGCCTTGTTAATGCTATTCCTTGCAAATGAATTAAAACTTGAACTGCCACATCCTGAGTGTTACTTAGATTTATAGCAGTTACAGTTATCTCACCTTTAAGGTAAACTTTTTTAGGTTGCTAAAGCTAATTTGTGTAATTTTAAACCTCAAAGACAGCACCTATGAAGTCCTTGATTCTGCATGTGTATTTTAACTCAACTACTCCTCAGTAGCTAAGGCTTCCACCAAAACAGTTCTCCCAATACTCTTAACATTTGCTGTGTATTAGAATCACCTGGGAAGCTTCTAAAATTGACTCTTGCCCAATCCTCACCCCAAGAGATCTGGATCAATTGGTTCAGTTCAGTGATTCACAAAACTTAGCTGCCTAAGATTACCTGGAAGGCTTGTTGAAACACCAATGCTGGGCCCATCCACAATTTCTGTTTTCTTTAGGTCTGTGGTGGAGCCCACAGTTTGCATTTCTACCAAGTTCTGAGTGATGCTGCTACAGACAGCCCTCTTTGAGAACCATTGCTGTAGTTTTTTAAGCTACCCAAGCGATTCTAATGGCAGCCAGGGTTGAGAACTGAGGGCTGCTTGCTTTGTAGTATAGCCCTGTGATAAAGTGAGCTGGGAGTTTTCAGCTTTTTGGCCCAAAGTATTGCATATATTCAAATTGTAGACAGTAAAATTGATAGAAGTAGCACTTTGTTGGTTTTAGGAGGTGTTCCTTCACCATTGGTGTGACAGACTAACATGGGTAACATTAATGACCAAGCAAGAAACTCTGGTGAAGAGTAGAGCAGCTGTGTGAAGTATTGTGGCTTGCATAATTTTGAAAGGAGGGCAAGTGAGTAGATTCAGAAATGAGACTGAGCTGATGGGGCCAAAACCAAAGCCACTCCTCTGACTTCCTCCAAGTGGTCTGGAGGACATATCATTGCTCTCCTGTGTTCACAGGGTTAAATGAGGCTCAGTATTACCAGCGGGGAAAGAGATGTAAAGAATGTGCATTATAATCATCTCTGTAGTTGAATGGAGACTTCTATTGAAAGAATTCTGGCATGGGGATCCCTGTTTATACATTGCCAGCTCAGTTCTCATAGTATAATCAGAGGATTCAAAAGTTCAATACAACTTGCATATGTGATATCACTACTGTCCCCAAAATTGAAGAATACAGATTTATCATAACTTTAGTGATTTCAGCTGTTTTTCTCTGATTTTTTTTTTCTAGGACAGATCTCTTTCTAGTCTGATTGATCCCATTCCCTTTTCTTGTTTTTTTGTTTGTTTGTTTGTTTGTTTGTTTATTTGTTTTTTGAGGCAGAGTTTTGCTCTTGTTGCCCAGGCTGGAGTGCAATGGCACGATCTCAGCTCACCGCAACCTCCGCCTCCTGGGTTTAAGTGATTCTTTTGCCTCAGCCTCCCCAGTAGCTTGGATTACAGGCATGTGCCACCACACCCAGCTAATTTTTTTTGTATTTTTAGTAGAGATGGGGTTTCTCCATGTTGGTTGTTGGTCAGGCAGATCTTGAACTCCCAACCTCAGGTGATCCGCCCACCTCGGCCTCCCAAAGTTCTGGGATTACAGGCATGAGCCACCACGCCCGGCCATCCCATTCCCTTTTCTAAAAGGGGGGTATTAGACTAGATCTCAGGGATACTTCCTAACACTCACATGCTAAGATACATCATTTAAAGTTTTTAAGTATATATGACTAAAGATAGTTTTTAAGTTGATATGAAAAAAATAAAGATTTCTTCTCTTCTTCAGCCCAGTCTTTTCTTGTGTCCACTTTTTATATACATTACATCTGAGATCCTATTGTCAAACCACAGAGGGGTGGGTGAATTGCCTGGACTGGATGGAGCAGTAGTACGTTAGGGAGTTGAAGCCATCATCACCTTACCTGTCCAAAGGTGGATGAGTGTGAGAACTTCAACAGATAGTTGAAGTTCTCTACATGTTTTTATTTCTCTACATGTTTTGCTTTCCAAAAGTATTTTGAATCAGCTATGCTAATTAAGGGGTGCAGTTTTATATTTTGCTTTAAACAGTTGATTTCCTTTTATATGTGATCCAATAAATCTTAATCATTAATAGTGCCTTTCAGAATTTGCCCACTCATCTGGTATAACTAGTTCTGATGGCTGGGAATAAAGGAAGAGGACGTGCTGCTTATACCTTTAATATTGAAGCTGTTGGATTTAGCAAAGGTGAAAAGTTACCTGATGTAGTGTTGAAACCACCCCCACTATTTCCTGTAAGTATATGAACAGTTGAATTCTCATAGTGTGTTTTTTTATTTTTCAGAGAATATTAAAATTCCATATAGGACTTGATATCATCATTATGTATTCTCAAGTATAAGAGTGTGTTTCACTTACCTTTAATTTAAATATTTCTATGATCTGCTTTCTTAAAATATAGAAAACAAAACTGTATACATCTTTCCATGAATATATGTGAACCAATAAAGATTAGTTTTCAATTCTTACAACTTCTGTTGGTGTTATTGATCTATTCCAATGTCAAAATAATAGTTTAAAAAGCCATTAGGTTTTATAATGGTTCTCAGTTCCCACTCTATCATGACTTCACTTAATGATTTTCTTCTCGTCTTGTATCTATAGAATTTAATTTTGCTCTTTAGTATACCACTTGACTTTTTTTCCCACTGAACTTTTTTTGCTTAGTGTTGTTTTAAAATTTAGCGAGTATGCTGGAAGCATAATTTGCATAACGTGTTATGTTTCACTTTATATTTAGTTTAAAATGTATCCAGGGATCTACCTGTCTCACACAAGGAATTTCTGCATTTTGCTCTTGATATTTTACCTTTTTGATATTTAGCACAACATAAAAACAAAGACAAATACCTCAGGTATTTGCATAATGTCACTTTACAGTGATCTTTAAAACAAGCTCTTTTTCATGTGTGAGATTACTTCTAAACAGTGGGGACGTTAGTACATAGTATTTCTTTATACCTGGAATAAAATTAAAATTCCTTACTACTCGATAAAAGGCTCTGCCTGATCTCTCTGTTCTGATGTCTCTCTGACTTTTTTCCTACCACTGTCCTTCTCATTCCCCAGCTAAGCTCGTCTCCTTGTGCCCTCAGGCCTTTGCCCCTCCTGGTTCCCCGCTGGAACCATCTCTTATCTTCAAATGGATGGCTCCCTGATTTTATCCCAATCTACTCAAATGTGACTTCCCCTAGCGGCCATGTACCCTGTGTAGATTCCACCTCCATCCTCCATGCTCTTAGTAGTCACTTCCTTTACCCACCTGCATTTATTTTTATGTTATTTATCACTAAGTGAAATTGTATATCACCTCATTTGTTTACTAATTTGTTGTGTGTTTCTCTCCTAGAATGTAAGTTCCCTGTAGGCAGGGACTTTGACTTGCTTATCATGGTATCTTCTAAAGTCTAACCATGTTAGGTACTCAATAAGTAGTTATAGCATGAATGAATACATTCCTAATCAAATTTTGAAAATGCATTCTATCTTTATCCTCTGAGACTAGAAATGTCTTTACTGTGTACACTAGAGACCCACTTGTTAATGAATATATTTGTGTAAATATATACATACATACAAATGCATATTTGCATATATGTATATGTGTGTATAATTTTTAAAACTTGAAATGCAGCTTCAAACTCTGTCTTTGCAATTTATTCATTATATGGGCTTACAAATTGTTCACTTCTCGATTTCTTCACTGCAAACGGAGAAATATTGGTAGTCCTTTCAATGAAATAATGGGTGTTGAATATTGAGTACATCCTAGTCACATTAACCACTTACTAAATAAAAACTGCTGCTTTTTTTTTCCCCCAGTAACACCATCACTAGTTGAGGTTAATAAGAATCTAAAGCGTCTGCTCTCATTTGGGTACCTTAATTTTTTTTTCTTTCTTTTTTTCTTTTTGGTACTCTAATTTTTAAAATAGAGAATCACATAGGTCAACAGACTGTATGGCAAAGTGGTTATTGGGTGTAGTTTCAGGGCCAATAGGAAAATAGGCATCTTTCTTATCTCTAAGATAAGAGCAAAGTAGGAAATGGGTTAACAGGTTAAATAGACTACAGAAGTTCATCTTTTAAGTTGATTGTAAAACTTAGTGCCTGTAAAACATACTATTTCAAGAAAACTGCTGTTTTCTGTAATACAGATAAAAGATATTAAAATACATAATTTATTTTTTAAAAACCTTTATCTCTTAATTTAAACAGGTTACAGATTATAAACCCGTGCCACTGAAAATGGGAGAAGGTGAAGAATATATGCTGGCTTTGAAACAGGAGTTGAGAGAAACAATGAAAAGAATGTCTTATTTTATTGAAACACCTGAAGAAAGACAAGGTACCATATTGAAGTCTTTGATTATATGGTTTAATGTGTGCAGATGAAACAGTGTTTAAGCACAAGATATAGAATCATTTAATGATTGATTCAACTCAATAAAAAATTAAGTACTTTGAAAAAACACATTTATGTTGATTTAACAGAAAACATACTTTAAATTTTTTGATATTTTTAGAAATTCACAGTAATTTTATATGTTAAATGAAAATTATGAAAAACAGGAAAATTTTAAAAAGTAAAAATTACCCATGCTTATGTCTAGAGAACCACTATTAATATTTATTATATTCCAGATTTTTTCTTCTGCATGTATATTCTCTTTATAAAACTGGTTTCGTATTACTTTGTATCTTCCTTTTTTCACTCAGTAGTATATTAGCATTTTTACATATCCTTCTTATTTGTGGGAAATATGACTTTTAATGACTCTGGTAGTCTACTCTGTGGATATAATATTATTAACTGAACTAATTTTCTGCTTTTTAAAGATTATTTCCAGTTTTTTGCTTATATATAAAATGTTGTGATTATTATCATTATACAAACCTTTATGCATGTCTCTGATTATCTAATATTTAGGTTAAAACATTTTTAAGCCTTGATTTTTTAATATATATATTATGAATTAAAATATGTATTCATTGGTGATACTTAAGGCAGAAAAGAAAAATTATATTTGGAGAGTGCTTGACAGTCTCAGACTAGAAATGGGAAGTGGTTTTACAGGAAAGGAAGCCATTCCTGAGTAGCTATTTAGCACAGCAGTACTATATTGATTTTTTACTTTCTGCCCTTGATTGTTGAAATTAGAGAGACTGATATCATCATTGAGTTCGCGAAACACCATCATTAAAACATGAGAAATTCACATAGCATCATATAATTCCATTAGTATTAAAAGTACATTCCATTTTTCCCCTCTCTAGAATAATTTGAATTGGCTGAGTCTAAATAATGAAGCCTTATGTAATAATCTTAGCATGTGCTTATAAATATAGGAAGCACTTTAGATAAGTTCATTTAATTCTCAAAACACAGCTGCTTGAAGTTTTATAATGGTTTGATAAGAGATATTTTATCTCAAAAATACTTAATTTTTTTTTTTTTTTTTTTTTGAAATTGGAGTCTCACTCTTGTAGCTCAGGCTGGAGTGCAGTGGTGCAATCTCGGCTCACTGCAACCTCCGCCTCCTGGGTTCAATTGATTCTCATGTCTCAGGTTCCCAAGTAGCTGGGATTACAGATGCGAAGTACCACGCCTAGCTAATTTTTGTATTTTTAGTAGAGACAACATTTCACCATGTTGGCCAGGCGGGTCTCGAACTTCTGACCTCAAGTGGTCTGCCCACTTCAGCCGCCCAGAGTGCTGGGATTACAGATATGAGCCACTGCACCCAGCCTAATACTGAAATTTTTAACTTTCATGATTATGTTGTATGCCTTCATCTGTTTGAGTTCCAAAATAAAACTTCTCATTTTAAAGATTTTAAAAAGACCAAATGAACGAATCAATATTCACTCTTATAAGAAAAAATACTAATGCAAGGTACACTTTAGTCCTTTTAAAATTGATCATTTCTCTATGGCACAGATTTACTTAACTGAATGTGGTCGTTATTGAAACACGTCTAATTTAAAAGTACATCAAATCAGGCCAGGTGTGGTGGCTCACTCTTATAATCTGAGCACACTAGGAGGCCGAGGTGGGCAGATCACCTGAGGTCAGGAGTTCGAGACCAGCCTGGCCAACATGGGGAAGCCCTGCCTTTATTAAAAATGCAAAAATTAGCCAGGCGTGGTGGCATGTGCTGTAGTCCCAGCTAATCAGGAAGCTGAGGCAGGAGAATCACTTGAACCTGAGAGGTAGAGGTTGCAGTGAGCTGAGATCACATCACAGGACTACAAGGGAGACTGTCTCAAAAAAAAAAAAAAGTATATCAAATCATTAAAGCATTTATGAGCCTTTTAGACAGGGATATTAAAAACATAATTTTGTTGTTGATCTGTGGGAGTGGTTGGCTCGTACATGGATTAAGGGAGCCCTTTTATCTTTGATAACTATGCAATAAAGTATTTAAAAAATGTAAGGGTTTTTTTGCTTTTATTTCTTTCAGGAGAAAATTCTTGTATGAAATTTCCAAGCTGATACAAGCACATTCTCCCTGAGATCTTCATGTTTACTTCTGCCTTTTTTTAATTGTTTTATTTTTCATTTTAGAAATGAGGTCTCGTTTTGTCACTCAGGCTGGAGTGCAGTGGCACAATCATAGCTCACTGCAGCTTCCAAACTCCTGGGCTCAAGTGATCCTCACACCTCAGCCTCTTGAGTAGCTAGGACTACAGACTCACACCACCATGGCCAGCTAATTTTTTATTTTTTTATTTTTTGTAGATGGGGGTCTCACTTTTTGGTCATACTGCTCTCGAATTCCTGGCTTCAAGTGATCCTCCTGTCTTGGCCTCCCAAAGTGGTGGAGTTACAGGCATGAGCCACCACACCCAGCCTAAGTCTTTTTCTTAATATTGTGTGTTTAAAAAATGAGCTCATGTTAAAAATAAAGGTTTTTCTATAAAATACATACATTTATAAGTGCATATATAGGTTTAAATATGTATATATGTGCATGCATAAATGTATATAATAACCATGCTATGAGTGAAGCAGAATTGGCCAGACTCAACAGAACTACCCAAGTGTCCGAGAGAACTATATTCTGGATAGAGATGTTGCATGACTGCAGTTTTGCCAGGTGCATCACTTGCCACCTGTGTGCTTTAGGAAAGAGAGACTTACCGACTACTGTAAAGCACTACATAACTAGACATCAGGACAAACAAATAGGGTAGGAGATCTCAAGACTTCCTGATAGTCAAGTGACTGCTGACTCAGGGCATTGAGATCAGTCCTGAAGAACCTAGGGCATGGAATGAACTTATTTCATGTTGTGATGTCTTCAAAGTTTGTTTTTAGTGTTTTCAGGTAGAATTTTAGAAATGATTAGTATTTTCTTTGCATTGAAATTTGTTATTTATTTAACAAAGGAAAAACACCAGTGAACATTATTTTAGTTCACTGGTGTTTTTCCTTTGTTAAATAAATAACTGTAGCTGTAAGAGGATGTAGAGATCATCTGGTCTAGTGGTTCCCAGCTCAGGTCCTGAACCACTGGGTCCTTTGAGGTAAGAACATGATTCTGATAGTGGTAATGGTGTAATAAGCCATTTTCAGAACTTAAAGCTAGATGGAAATTATACATTTACTTAAATATGTCCACAGGTCTGTTACTGAGTAAATGGAATTTGGCTTCCTAATTCTTGTTATACCATCAGTGTCCATGAGACTCAATATAAATTTTTGAGGTTTTTTTTTTTTTTTTTTTTTTTTGGAGCAGTTCCTATTGTTTGTATGATTGATACTCATAACTTTTATTCTTGCATAGAGATTTTCTAAAGAACAAGCAGAAATTTACTTAAAAAAGAAAACTCGTTTTATCTTAGCGTGCCATTATCAGCCCCTTGGACCCTTTTTTTTTGAGGCGGAGTTTCACTCTTGTTACCCAGGCAGGAGTGCAATGGCGCGATCTCGGCTCACTGCAACCTCCGCCTCCTGGGTTCAGGCAATTCTCCTGCCTCAGCCTCCTGAGTAGCTGGGATTACAGGCACGCGCCACCATGCCCAGCTTATTTTTTATATTTTTAGTAGAGACGGGGTTTCACCATGTTGACCAGGATGGTCTCGTTCTCTTGACCTCATGATCCACCTGCCTCGGCCTCCCAAAGTGCTGGGATTACAGGCTTGAGCCACCTCGCCCGGCCTGGACCCTTTTATATATCTAAGATAATTATGGAATCTGAGTGATCTTATTTTTTCTCTATCTTGAACTACCTTGCTACTTCATCATCATAGATATTATCTCATCATCATTCATCAGATATTTCCCACTATGCTGAAGAAAAGAATAAATACAAAAAATAGGAGAATGATGAAATTGTGCAGTTGAAATAAAACATCACTATTATATTATATAGTTTTCCTGTTCCTTTCCTTTGGACAAGTTTCTAATGCTTGTCCAAAGTATTACATCTTTTTTTTAAGAAGATATAAAGTGTGCAGAGACCTTCATATTTGTAGTTGCTCTGTTTTAATTGAATACAATTGAAAAATTCAAAAATTTTTAATTTTCTGCTCATAATGTCCAAAATTGACAGAAAGAGACATTCCACAATTCTTAGACGAACCGGAAGATGAATTCAAAGAGATAAATAGCTCTCTGGATGCTAATGATGATGATGAAATTGATTTTATAAGCAAAATCTCAGACTATGAGTCTTTAGTGTCTTCAATGAATTTTTTCAAATTCAAGAATCAATGAGTAAACACTATCTCTAAGAATTAAAAAGGAATTATGGTGGCCTTGTATAGTTAATCTTTGAAAAAGACCTCATCATGTAATACTTTATAACAAAAACCTGGATCATCGTGTTTGCTAAAATGAGGTGATCATTTTTGTTTTGTTTTATGATATTTGTGCACCAAAATTAATTTGATGTTTGTAACTGACAAATGCTGAAAAAGAAGTTGATTGTACAGACATGAAATCATTTTTTGGACTGATCGTATTAATTGGTAATTATAAATTTAATGAAAATATTTTGCAAGTGTAGAGTAAAGATCACTGGACCATCTTCAATGAAATATGAGAAATCAAAGTTTTTAAAGTATTGCATTTTGGTTATGTAAGTACGAGAAGAATTGGAGGTAGTGATAAACTAATCTACTAGAAATGCAGATGATACACGTATGAGAAAAAGAACCAAAAGAAATTATAAGTTAGAACCTATTAAAGATGTGTTTGGAATTGGGGATCAGGATGTACAGAAGGCATATATTCTGGATTTGTGTGTGGCAGTTGATGCACAGAAAAGTGCATTCAAATGACTTTGCCCGTTTTGGTTAAATTTTCCTTCAAAACCACTAAAACATGGAATATAAATTTGAATTTGCTATGCTTAATTACTTAGTAAAGTCTCTAATAGCTTTATTTATTTTCGTTTGAGACAGGATATCATTTTGTTAACCAGGCTGAAATGCAGTGGCGTAATCTCAGCAGTAAGCAGCCTCCACCTCCCAGGCTCAAGCGATCCTCCCACCTGCCATATCTTCCCAAGTAGCTGGAACCACTGGCATGAGCCACCATGCCCGGCTAATTTTTATATTTTTTGTAGAGATGGGGTTTCATCATGTTGTTCAGGCTGGTCTCGAACTCCTGAATTCAAGGGATCCACCTGCCTCGGCCTCCCAGAGTGCTGGGATTACATCTTGAGCCACTGTGTTGGGCCTAGTTTTACTGATTTTTTTTTTTTTTTTTTTTTCTGAGCTTGAGTCTTGCTCTGTTGCCCAGCTGGAGCACAGTGGTGCAATCTTGGCTCACTGCAACCTCCGCCTCGTGGATTCAAGCAATTCTTCTGCCTCAGCCTCCCAGGTAGCTGGGACTCCGTACATAGCTAGGTACATGCCACCATGCCCAGCTAATTTTTGTATTTTTAGTAGAGACAGGGTTTCACCATGTTGGCTAGGATTATCTCGATCTCTTGACCTCATGGTCCACCTGCCTCGGCCTCCCAAAGTGCTGGGATTACAGGCGTGAGCCATCGCTCCCAGCATTACTGATTTTTAAGTAAGGGTTTTACTGAGACATAATCCACATATGTAAAATCTACTTTTTATAGTGTACAATTCAATGACTTTTAATATAGTCACAGAATTGTGCAATCAACTCTGCTATTTAATTTTTTTTTTTTTTTTTTTTGAGACAGGGTCTTGCTCTGTCACTCAGGCTGGAGTGCAGTGGCATGATCTCAGCTTACTGCAGCCTCCTCCTGGATTCAAGTGATTCTCTTGCCTCAGCCTCCCGAGTATCTGGAATTACAAACACACCACACCTGGCTAATTTTTTTGTATTTTTAGTAGAGATGGGGTTTCACCATGTTGGCCTGGCTGCTCTTGAACTCCTGACCTCAAGTAATCTACCCACCCTGGCCTCTCAAAGAGCTGGGATTATAGGTGTGAGCCACTCCGTCCAGCCACTGTCTAATTTTTTAGAAGCTTTTCATCATCCAGAAAAGAAATTCTGTACCCTTTCGTAGTCACTCCCTATTCTTCCCTCCTGACAACCCATGGCGCCAGCAATCTGCTTTCTGTCTCTAGAGATTTATCTGTTCTGTCCATGTCATGTACGTGGAATCATGTAATATGTGTCTTTTTTAGACTGGCTTCTTTCATTTGCCATAATGTTTTCAAGGTTCATCAATGGCTTAGTACATATGAGTGCTTCATTCCTTTTTCTGGCTGAATTATATTCCACTGTATGGATATGCCACATTTTGTTTATCCACTCATCATTTGATGGGCATTTAGATCAGTTCACTTTTGGGCTAACATAAATTATGCTGTCATGAACATTCATGTACATGTTTTGTGTGAACATATGTTTGCATTTCTATTGGAGATATACATAGGATCATATGGTAACTATATTTAACATTTTGAGGAACTGTCAAACTGTTTTCTAAAGTGGCTGTACCATTTTACATTCCCATCAATAATGTATAAGGGTTCCAATTTCTCCATATCCTTAACAACATTTTTTTAAAATTCTAGCCATCCTAGTGGTTGTAACACCGTATCTCATAGTGGTTTTGATTTAAATTTCTGTTATGATTAATGATGTTGGATATCTTTTCATGCTTTTTGTCCATTTTTGTATCTTCTTTAGAGAAATGTCTATTCAGATTCTTTACCCTTTTTTAATTGGGTTCCAATAATTGTTTTTTAATACTTCTTTACTCTTTTATCTGTTATCTTTTTTATTCTCTGTATTTCATTCTTTGAAATTAACTTTAAAATATAAAAAAATGTTCTATTGTACCGAGAGAAAAAAGGGTAAACTTTTTTTTCTGGTATACTGAGGGTTAAAATTATTTAAAATAGGGAATCTGTTTTGGAAAATTTCTAAAAAAAACGAAGTCATTGTGTTACAAATGCTAGGAATCTCTCATTTATGCTGACTTCATTTTACAGATGAAAAACTTGACGAGATTAGTTAAAACGTTTGACCTGATGTCAAGCAGTTAAAATATCTAGAAAACCTGATCTCTTGGTCTCTTATCTAATGCTTATTTTAGTTATCTTTCTCTATACATGATTATATTATTTGGAAGCATATTCTTGACATAGAAGAAAAATCAGTACATATTTGGTCCTTGACTTTACATCTATTCATCTTTAGTATTATCTTCCCTTTTTCATGCCTAACTGCTGAACTGCTTTTTATGATGAACATGGCTTCAGGTTTTGTGTAATAGTGTTGCTTTCCAACTTGTGCTGCTGGGAAATAGTTTGTGCCCTCCTGAGGGGTGTTCTTGTGATGAGGTGGACAAGTCTGAACCAAGAGCCACAATTGTGGCTTTAATGGTTTTGGCAAACTCAGAGGGTCCCTGCAGAGTTTTCAGCAGTTGGCATGGAAGACTTGCAGCTTGCTCATTTATCCCTCAGATCAGTAACCCCTCGCCAAGTCCAACCTTGCCTACTCCTACCCTTTTTCCCATTCTCTTATGTCCAAATGTAGGAAACTCCCTGTATGTGAAATAAAAAATGTTGTCTCTTGTTTTCAGTTATCTTAAAGGAATGGCATAAGTTCAGGGTTACTTTTGATTTTCCTAATGAGCTCTTTATTCTTTTTTCCCCCTAGATATTGAAAGGTATAGTAAAAGATATATGAAGGTGTACAAGGAAGAATGGATACCAGGTAACTACAAAACACACAGTATGAAAACAGTTTTTAAAGCCTGTCTCATATTTTTTTTTTAAGGATAAGTTTTCTATTTTTACAAAAAGAAAATTGAGTCTGGTTCTTTTATTGTGATTAATTAGTAATATAATTCTCTTGGAAACTAAGGTGAAAATACTTTTATGCTAAAACAAGGAAGATTGAAGTGCTTTTGTGGAAGTTCTTAAAATATATTTTTCATAAAAGGACACGGCAAACAAACCCTTTTGATTTTCTAATTTTATTAGCCACAATCACAATTTTAGTTTGAAATGTCAAAAAGCACAAATACTATGCTCCTGAGCAATTTTAGAGCATTTGAAGAGAAAGCAAAAATCTAATTTTAAAGATATTTTAAGCCAAGCTCATGGATCTTCCTTTCTTATCAGCAGGCATAGACTATTTTTACTTGTTAGGTTTCTTTTTCAAAATAACTATATCTAAAAAGAAGCTTTACCTTGGGTATAGACAACTTAGAAGGGGCTGTAAAGGAGCCCTCATCCCACTCATTCATTTTGCAAATAAAAACAGTTGCCATAGAAATAAAGTGACCTGTCAGGACACATGGCCAATACTGTTAGAACCCAGGTCTTCTCATTTTAATTCACATTCTTTTTATGTCTCTGTCCTTGATCTTTTATGGAATCTGCCCTTATGTAAAAACATAAATGACATTAACAGCATTATCATTTTTACAGATTATAGTACTATCTTTTCAATGTGGATAAGTTTGGGCACCCTGGAAACAACTTAGGTCTCTCATTTCTTCCATTTCATTAGTATTCATCCCTCAAATGTTTCTCTTCACATATTCCATCAGGATCTAAAATGAGTAGTTTACAAAAACTAAACTATATTCAAAGCAAAATTTATTAGTTTAGGTAAAATGACTTGAGATTTAAATGTTTTGTAAAAATGCACTGAAATTTTCTTATTAGCAGGTAGTATTTTTATACCAATTTTTCTGTTGCTTCAATTTTCTGCTTAACTATATGCCTAAAAATTAAAAGAAGCTGACACATTAGAGGAATTATTTAGATAATGCAAGGAAAATTTATTTGAGGACATTTATATTTGACAGCTATTTATATTTTTAATTTTAAAGTTTTCAGATATTAGAATTGCTTATTTCATTTTGCATGTGTTGGGATTGTGGTACATACTTTGGAAAAAAATTTGTTGCATAAGAAATATATCTAGTACATAATATATAAACTATAGAAAACTTACAAAATACAAAGTAGTCAAATAAATCAATATAAATAATACTTAAAATTTGTTGTAATTCCAACACCCACAAATAATTACCTTTAAGATTTTCTTCCCAAAAAATTTTATAGCACTATTTCAGAGCTATTTTGATAAACTTTTTTCTTTATAGGAAAATACATATCATTGTCTGTTATATTTCGATTTTGTTTTGTTATATTTCAGGCTAAATTTGTACAGTCAGATTCCAAGGCACTTTATTGTCATTGCCTGGATAACCGTTGTTTCCTTCAAATAGTTATGTCCAATGCCACTAATTCCTAGAGGAAATTGCAATTTTTTAATATTTTTTTTTATGTACAGATTGGAGAAGACTTCCAAGAGAGATGATGCCAAGAAATAAATGTAAAAAAGGTACATTGACTAATATAATAGTAATTCAGGTAGGAAAAGGTTATTTCTTACATTCTGTTAATGTGGACTTATCAACCCAAAGTTATACTTACTGTTCTTAATGCTTTTCTTAAAGTATTTTGAGCCAGACAGGAAGGCTCATGCCTGTAATCCCAGCAGTTTGGGAGGCTGAGGTGGGAGGATTGCTTGAGCCCAGGAATTTAAGACCAGCCTGGGCAACATAGTGAGAACTTGTCTCTACAAAAAGTTAAAAAAAAAAAAAATTATCCAAGTGTGGTGGCATGTACCTGTAGTCCCAGCTACATGGGAGGCTAAGGTGGGAGGATCACTTGAGCCCAAGAGGTGGAGGCTGCAGTAAGCCAAGATTGCACCACTGCTCTTAAGCCTAGAATACAGAGCAAGACCCAAACACTCTTTCTAAGACCCTGACTCTCTTTCTCTCTGTCCCTGGCATATATATTTTGCTAAAGCTTGTTTTTTGTTGTTTATCTTTTGGGTGTTTATTATTATTATTATTATTATTTTCTTAGCTGTCACTTTTTCTTTGTGTGTGTCTTATTTTTAAATTTTATATATTTTTTAAAATTTCAGTATTCATTTTATTCATTTGATTTTACATGTGTTTAGATACATTTTAGATACAGGGGGTACATGTGCAGGTTTGTTAAATTGGTATCTAACACCCAGGTAGTGAGTGTACTTACTACCTAATAGGTAGTTTGTTAACCCACACTACCCCCTCCTCCCCTCCCAACTTTAGTGGTCCACTTTGTCTGTTGTTCCCATATTTATGTTCATGTGTGCTTAGTGTTTAGCTCCCACTTATAAGTGAGAGCATGCAATATTTGGTTTTCTGTTCCTGCATTTATTTACATAGGATTGTCCTTTAGCTGTGGAACTGTGGATATGCTAAGAAAGACTTTTCAATTGTTGTAGACCTTTTCATTTGCATAACTGCAGATTTTTTATTGTACTGGCTACATTATAAATTATTAACATTTTAAAATTGGGAAACCAATAAAGTAGAGCATTATGCTGTATAGAAGAATGCCAAAGTGAATGTTTACAGTTCGTTTTCCTTTAGTAATTCCATTCAGTAAATAGTTACCTATTATTGCTAGACATTGTGCTGACAGGAATAAAACTGAGCAAAGTGGGAATAATCCTTGTCGTCATGGAGCTTGCAGTCAAATAGGGTAAAATCATTAAATAAAAACACACTGTCCTTATTGGGAAGTATTCTTTGAGGAAATGGAATCGAATTGAGATTGAAGGAGTAGGAGTTTACTGAGACACAGTTACGAGAGAGAAAGTAGGGAAATACCAGGTTTGTGAGAGAAAAATCAGATGTTCAGTTCAAAGGTGTTACTTCTGGATCCTTTAAAATATACAAATATAAATGCTAAATATATTGTTGGATATATGGGAATGGACTTCATAATGGAGATTGTAGTCATTATCAGAGATATGATCATTGAGACCAAGAGAAAGGATGAGATGGCCTAGGGCAGAATTAGGTAATTAGAAGAAAGGAAGGCCTAATCCTTAGCTTAGAAGAATGCCAACATTTAATGTGCTGGTAGAGGAGATTGAATGGCAAAGAAAGGAACTGGAAAGAAAGAGGATGGAGGAGAACCAGGAGAGCAGAGTAACACAAGCTAATCTGATATTTCGGAAGGTCGTCAACAGTTTTAAAAGATGTTAGACAGTTTTGCTAAGAGGTCAAATGGGAGGAAGATTGGAAAATGTTCACTCATCTTTAACATCTCTGTTATTGGTGACGTCAGTGAGAGCTTTTTGGAAGATTCTAGAAGATAGAATCCCGATTGGAATGGCTTAACCGGTAAATGGATCTTAGGAAATGGAGACAGCTAGCATAGATGAGTCTTTTTACAATTTTGCTATGAAGAATGAAGAGTGGAAAAAGAAGGTATCCAGAGAGGTTAAGAACAGTGGGGTTATCAACAAAGAGAAGAGAAGGAATTCCCACTCCCCTATTTAACCCTTTATTGAGGTACAATTGACAAATAATAAAATGCACATATTAGATGTACATTTACATTTTTTGCACATATGTATTTAAGGCAGAAGTATTTTTATTTTATTTTAAAGATATAATATATAACAGCCTTTAGCTTGAATGCAAATATTTTGAGATACGACAATTTATCTTCTTTTATACCCTTGGTTTTTATTGAGGAAATACATTACTTTCATAAGAAAATACATGTGCGTGAATGATACTGGTCATGCCCTAGGGGTTCACAAATCTATAGTTGACTTTAAACCTGAAAAGAATGTATTCATTTTGGAAGAGTTAATGTTTTCAAATATGTCATCCCTGGGATTTCATACCCACATTAAGCATTAGTAAAAGCTCCCGATGTATCAGGATTTCCATTTGTTAATAAACAAAGCAACAACAAAACTTTCTTTTTTATTTTGCTCTAGTATGTTTTGTTACATACTGTGTAATTTTTGTGTCTTGTTTCCATAAGTTTGTATTCTCCTTTTTGTTAAGATGCCCTCCATTGATTTACATGGAAGTAAACAATAACAATAGAGTCAAAGGATGAAAACAGTTGTTTCTTGAAGAACCAGCTACTGCCACATGTTAACAGAAACTATTCAAATATATGCAGATACTTGGCCAAAGATGGAAAAAAAAAAATAAGTTTACTTACCTGGCCATATTCTCTAGTATCCCTTTAACAAAGGTATATGTTTTAAAATTAAATAATTTTTTAACAAGTTCTTAGAAAAAGACTTCATGAGTAGAATACATTATTAGCTAATGTTTTTTTGGCATCAGTATTTATTGAGTTCTTGTTTATATGTGATACTGTATTTTACGTGTTACAGTTTTTATTAAGCAATCTTTGCCCTCAAGGGGGTCAGAGAAAGTTACCAATCATTAAATCTAACTATTACTTTTGTTTGAGAAACCTCACTAATACATATGTTTGGGAGCTCTGAGCTCAGTAATTCACTGAGGGGCAATTCAGTATAGCACAGTGCATTGTAATTCCGTCAGTTATAGGTCATCTACCACAATCTAAACATTTTTTTCTGTAGGTTAAATGTTAATCTTTATCAAAATTACATCTTTCTGAGCCACATTTTCCTCTTACAAAGTGATTTCTAGGTGTTCGGTTTGAGTTTGGAAAGAACTGTAATACTTTCTGACTACAATGGGATAATTCTGTAGCCTGTCATGTTGCTTTGGTAACTGACTGGCAGAATTTATATGTGAAATACTTCTCTAGAACCTGCACTTTCAGAATAGTCTCAAAATGCAAAATTTTAATAGGAGTAAAAAAGAAGTTATGTAGCCCAAAGCCATTACATTTTATTTCACTTATATGCTTTTGAGTTTTCAGGTTCATATGATGAATATGTTCAGTTTAACTATTTTAATCTTTATTCCAAAGATAGTTCTGTGTTGTACTGTCATCTCTTTCACCATCGGCAAATGAATATTTATCCTGCACTTCCTTTTTATTTTGCACACCTGGTAAGATTCCTCTGGTTAAAATGAAGTACACTTACAGTGAAGGAGAAGCCAGTGCAGGTGGATTTGCCGGAGCCTTTCACTGTACTCATGCTACTTCCATCTGAGGTAACATTTTAGCAGTTTGGCCCTAACTATATTAATTGCCAATACCAATTTTTAGTACTAGTTAAAAATACACCTGACTTCAGTCTTAAAAAAAAGTCCCTATTGATGATCATTTATTCCTCATCATTGGAAAATTGGTGAGGTATGATTTGTTTATTCTTTGAGAAAATTAATTTACTCTGAAAACTATGTGACTGCCTAGGATACAATAGCACGAGGCTGGACAGCATAAGCAAAGGCAAGGAGATATAACACACAGTTGCATTTGCAGAAAAATGTGTTAACTGGTAGTTTTACTTCAGCAGGCCCCAAACCCAAAAAGGCAAAAGACGCAGGCAAAGGCACTTCACTCACTAATACTGCAGATGTTTTGAAAAAAATTGAGGTAAGGTTTTCTTCTTACTATAAAAGTGAACTGAAAAAATGCAGAAGATTCTACTTCCTTTTGCTTTCTTGTTTCAACTTTTCAGCATTCTCTCACTTTTTAATTTGGCAGAAGTGAGCCCAGAAGTAACTGGGAAAGTTTGAACTTTGCGGGCTATGAGATGAGGTTCTGTCATGTCCTTCATTAGTTACTTGCCTGGCTAAGTTGGCACAGCTACTTAGCCAGTTGTGGTGAAAATTCATGTTTTCATTTTATTTTTTGACCAGTACTTGAGCTAGAGACAACATGAAAAATAAGCCAGAGTGCTGTGCAGGAGCAGTGATAACTGTCCAGTTTAACTGTGGTGGAATGATGGGGTTGCAGTTCTAGGCAGCTTGTATTGATCGAACTCAGCTTCTGGCTATTCTTAAAGCTTCCTGGAGAAGACTTGCTAAAATGATATGTGCTGTAAGGAAGATTGATCTGGAGCCTCTGGGTGTGGTTTCTCCCTGTAACAAATTGTGTTTCCTTATTCTCTACATGTAAACACCTTTTTCAGGACACATACTGGTAAACTGGAAATTTAAATCAAGAAATCCAGTGGGTTTAGTAGAGTTGTTTCCAGATGACTCTCTTATTGTTCATCTTTTTCAGCAAAAACAATTCCAAGTTTTTATTATAATAGAACATTCGTGAATGGAGAGGGAGTGACATACATTCAAATCTCATGATTAACGTGTGAATAATTAGTGGTAAGCTAATATCTGAGGCTTCTCATTTCTGCATAACAGGAGGCTCCGTATGGTGGCTGTAAGGCTGTATAATATTTAAACCATAAGAACTCTCTGTCCATAATTGAACTGTTTTCAGTGGCTTTACATTATATTATTCATTTTATTCTTAAATCTGTAAAGTAATAAGGTTAGATGGTTAAATATCAACAGGAGAGAGAAAATGGAGACTAGTCATAGGTGAGCTGAAACCAGTAGCTTAATTCAAAAGGAATGAAGCAATGAGACCATGTATGTGGCTTTGAGATCAGTTTTTATTAAAAAGTTGTATAAATCTGCTATTTTTAACCTATTTTATGAGTGATTTAGATCTATGTGGTGGAAATAAAGATGTGGTTATTTTTTAAAGATATTTGAGGGGGCAATAATAGAAATATAGGCTTACTAGTTCCTATGTGGCACTGAATTAATACTGTATTTAAAAAGTACTTTTGCATAACTGGTGTAAATGACTATATTCTTAATTATGAAATAGCATGATTTTTTAGATATAGTGTGTACCCTGCACAGAGCTAAATAGATATAGCACTGCAATTTCCTATTAACTACACACACTTATGAGTTGCAGGTCTTTTCACTGTGATCTAATTAAAATAGAAAAAAAATTGTTAACATAGCATCATATATGTGTATGTATATCTTATTATAGATACTTCAAAAGATCCATAAGTACTCTTTTGTTTACTTGTACTTTTCCAAAGGGATTGCCAGTTGGAAAAATTGCACACATTATATTGTAGTAATAGCTCATATAAGACAACATAAGAGTCATTATCAAGATAAATCATCTTATGTCTGTTACCTTGGTCTTACTTGTTCTGCCTGAGTGGGTTAAGCAGACAGGAAAGGTGGCGTTTGAATTTTGATTAGAAATTGAGCCTATCTAAGGTAGTCAGGTATTCCCTCTATTGTCTTTGATTTCCTTAAATTCAAATTTGAATGTAATTACAAGGATTTTTAAAGATAAGCATTTAAGAACCAGTAAAGGTTAGCTAAGTTGTAGCCACTTCAGATATAAAATCTGTTTTCTCCCTCTACAAAGCAAGTATCTTATAATAGAGATGGAGAGTTTGCAGATTATTTCTGCTTAGGAATAATCACATTTTAGCTGAGGTGACTTATGCCTTAATAATGAGTAGTAATATGTGAAGTTATTGACTCCTGAAAAACTTGTGAAATTCTATCACATATGCACATTAAACATAGTACAATTTAGTGAACAGAAAATGACAGTAATGAAAGATCACCTTTTATTAAATGAAAAAAGTATAGTACAATTTAGTGACAGTAATGAAAATAGGTCATTTTTTATTAAATGAAAAAAATTGTTGGTAGTCATAATAGAAATACAAAGATGTAAAGTTAATTTTGTGTACTGTTCCCTGGTGGCTCCACTTGTGGTTAAGTGGGACTCTCACGGAATCAGAGCTTTCCTAACTCTGCATCTCTCTTTTGCCTTCTTTTTTAGAATTTCTAAAAATTGCTAGTATTGACTGTGATTTAAGTTTCAATTTCTGTTTCTTCTCAATCTGCCAGATATATTAAGAAACAAAAATTCCTGGCAACAGGAAGTAAATAATGAGAGAGAAAAGAGTTGAAGACACAGATAATCTGCAACTAGGGTAATCTAACCCAGGATGACTTGATATTATAAGAGTATTAAATGATCTCATGTATAAAGTGAAAGATAGACATTTTGAAATATTACTATTACCTTCTTTTTTTCTCCTTTTATGTTAGAAGGAAAAGAAGATAACATTCTAAAAGTTGTCCATAAACTAAGTCACCTCAAATATTTTAGACGGAGGTAGGATAGACGGCCAGGTGCCATGGCTCACGCCTGTAATCCCAACACTTTGGGAGGCCAAGGCGGGCAAATCTCTTGAGACCAGGAGTGCAAGACCAGCCTGGCCAACATGGAGAAATCCCGCCTCTACTAAAATTACAAAAAGTTAGCCAGATATGGTAGTGTGTGCCTGTAGTTCCAGCTTTTCGGGAAGCTGAGGTAGGAGAATCACTTGAACCCAGGAGGAGGAGGTTGCTGTGTGCCAAGATTGTGCCACTATACTCCATCTGGGCAACACAGCAAGACTTCATCTCAAAAAAAAAAAAAACACAAAGGAAAGGTAGGAGAGAAATTATAAAAATAAAACATTATGCATTAGAGCTGATAAGCCCAGTATTAATCTGAAACCCAGTTATTAAGTAACAAAATCAAAGAAAATGCTGGTTTAGTGATGAGACAGTTAATTCCTTCTTTCTTGAGTTGATTCCTAGTTTTCTAGGTAGGTGGTGGCCTGTAGGTGGTGATAAGATGAGATTGGAATAATGTGTAATAGATAACTGTTCCCTTAAGGCTAAGCAGGGAAGTCAGCAGTCTAGTGGTTTCCATACAAATTAATGAAACTCACTTATACCAGGAATTGGAAAAGAGAGGTGATGGTGAAAAATCAGATGAGGAAAATGAAGACAAAGAAGGAAGCAAAGAGAAAAGTAAAGAAGGTGAGGATGATGACGATGATGATGCTGCAGAACAGGAGGAATATGATGAAGAAGACCAAGAAGAGGTAATGGTTCATTTGGGGATGGTAGCAAAATTAATAAGCTTATCTAATAAGGAATCAGATATAGTATGTATTAAAGTCAACAAACAGAAACCAAGATGATGGGAAACAGAAGTATATTATTATCAATGGCATTGATTCCTTGTTGTCCAGAGAACTATTATAGCATTGAAATTATAATGATGTCAAATTGAATATAGGAGATAAAAATAACTTGATTGGCAACTTTGTAAATATAAATCTACAAGATAAGGAAATTGATCAGATTACTGCAATTAAGATTTAACAACATAAAAATTTATTTGGGCCGGTGGCGGTGGCTCAAGCCTGTAATCCCAGCACTTTGGGAGGCTGAGGCGGGTGGATCACGAGGTTAAGAGATCGAGACCATCCTGGTCAACATGATGAAACCCCGTCTCTACTAAAAATACAAAAAATTAGCTGGGCATGGTGGTGCGTGCCTGTAATCCCAGCTACTCGGGAGGCTGAGGCAGGAGAATTGCCTGAACCCAGGAGGCGGAGGTTGCGGTGAGCCAAGATCGCACCATTGTACTCCAGCCTGGGTAACAAGAGCAAAACTCTGTCTCAAAAAAAAAAAAAAAAAATTTATTTAAGTCAGAAATTTAGGTAATGGAGGGCTTAACCACATACGTCTAGAGGAGAATCCCTGCAGTGTGTTTCAAATTCCCAAGTGCCTGTGAACACTACTATCAGAGAAGATTGACAGTTTAACCTCAGCTATCTGACTGAGTCAGGACTCTGTGTTTTGGATTTGGGATGTCTAACTTTTAGAAGGAAATGCGCATAGTACATTTAGAATTAGCTGAAGCCAGTCAGGTATTTTTGAGCAGGGTAACTTTGCAGACCACGGCCTCTTCGGGACTTTGTAGACACCTCAGACGGTAACCCTAAGCAGAGAGTTTCTTCTCCATTCTGGTGACCTTTGTCTTCCACTCCATTTCAGCCTCTTACATCACATTCTGAAATTTTGCTTCTCCTAAAACTGTTCCAACTATGAAATCTTTACTGTATTTATTTGGCATTAAACTTGATATTCTTTTCAGATTTATATTGGTTTAAACAGAGAAATAGGAATACATTTTTATCTGTTTCCAAGTGTTTAGCCAGCTGCTAACCTCATTTCTTAAATAATTCGCTTTCCTCATTGATTTTGAAATTCTTGTATCAGCTATTACATTCCCATTTCTACTTCTGTTCTCTGTTCCACTGATCTATTTTGAACCAACACTAAGCTGTTCCAGTTAGTAGAAGCTTCTGATTATTCGTTAATATTCACAGGGTATGTCTTCCCTGCTACCCTTTTTCCCACAATTTTCCTGAATATTCTGTCTATTCTTTTCAGGTAAATTTTAAGTCTAAACATTTAAAAATTAAATATATCACGTTTGTGGTATGTCACATTTGTTGCCAGCTTTCTTTTCAGATCATTCATGTTTTTATTTCCATTGCTCTCTGACATGATTGAGATGGTCAGTAATTCTGATCATCTCTTTCCCCTTTATTGGTTCTCTGTTTTACTTTTCTTTTCTAAGAAACTCAGACCCTTGCTCATCTTTCATCCTCTTTTTTGCCATTGTTCTTGTCTCTTGTCCTCCCAGTGCACACTCTAGACCAAAGCCAGCTTTGATCATTTCTACTCTCTACCTCTTCTCCCTTTCAAAGCTGACTTATTGAGCATTTCTTGGGAATCACAGAAATTGATGCCCCTCCAAAAACACCGGCCCCATTTTGCTGGCTAACATGTTTCTATTCTCTTTTTAAGTCAGCTCTCTACAGCAATTATTTTAGATCATCTTATTTTCTCTCGTTTCTACCTTTTCTTTCACTCTTAGCAGGTGATAGTACCTTCATACAGGAAATGAAGTCATCAAGAGGAAACTATTAATTTCATGTCCTCTGCCATCAAACTCATTGTCTTCTCTCCTCCTTCTCCTCTTTTTTTTTATCAAGGGAAGAAATCCCCTTTACCCTATTTGGGACTAGCGGTCCTATCCTTTTTTGGAACCATAGTTCTCAGGTCATTTCCCTTTCCATATTTTAACTTCTTTTTCTGCCCGTCTCTTACATTCATGGATTAAAACATGATCATTTCCCATTGCAAAATATGTTGTCCTTATTCTCCCTCATGCTGTCTCTTGGAAAGCTTCTTTAGCTGTCGTCACTTGCTCATTTCCACCTCCCCCACCATTAGCTCTTTTCTTTTTTTTTTTTGAGACGGAGTTTCGCTCTTGTTACCCAGGCGGGAGTGCAGTGGTGCGATCTCGGCTCACCACAATCTCTGCCTCCTGGGTTCAGGCAATTCTCCTGCCTCAGCCTCCTGAGTAGCTGGGATTACAGGCCCGTGCCACCGTGCCCAGCTAATTTTTTGTATTTTTAGTAGAGACGGGGTTTCACCATGTTGACCAGGATGGTCTCGATCTCTTGACCTCGTGATCCACCCACTTCGGCCTCCCAAAGTGCTGGGATTACAGGCGTGAGCCACCGCGCCCAGCCAGCTCTTTTCAATCTTAGTTTCACCTCCATGCTATTCAAATTATTGCTTTTGACAAATAGAAGTAGCTTCAAGAAAGAAACTATTGCTACCATACTCACTATAGACAAATTTTAGCCTTTATGTTACTTAGCTTTTCTGCAGCATTTAATTAACACTTCTGACAGCTCTATTATTAAAATATTATTTCCTGGCCAGGCACAGTGGTTCACACTGTAATCCCAGCACTTTGGGAGACTCAGGCAGGTGGATCATGAGGTCAGGAGTTCGAAACCAGTCTGGTCAACATGGTGAAACCCTGTCTCTACTGAAAATGCAAAAATTAGCCAGGTGTGATGGCAGGCACCTGTAATTCCAATTACTCAGGAGGCTAAGGTCAGAGAATCCCTTGAACCCAGGAAGCGGAGGTTGCAGTGAGCCGAGATCATGCCATACTGCACTCCAGCCTGGGTGACAGAGTGAGACTACATCTCAAACAAAAACAGATAGATAGATAGATACATAGATAGATAGATAGATAGATAGATAGATATGTATGTACGTATGTATATGTGTAATTTCCTTTATTTAAATTCAACAATTTATGGCAATTATATGAATCTTCTATATGCCAGGCATTGTGCTAATTGTCAGGCATTTTGCTAATTGTCAAGTCATAGACAAACATGGTTGTTTCCCTTCATATTTGTTACATAATGCTCCTCGTTTTTCTCCTATTTCTGGTACATGTTTGTGGTCTCTTGAGTTCATCTCTTTCTAATCTTTAAATGTCAGTATTCTTCAGAGTTCTTCCCTTGGGCTTCTTTTTCTACTATAATCTCTCTAATTGATTGTATACTTCCCCATAGTTACCCTGTGTAAATGTACGACTCCTCAGTTCTTTTTCATTCAACCTATAGTAAGTGTACACTCAGTATATGCTTGGAATTGTAGTAGGTAAGGGGAATATGAAGATAAGATGCAGTTCTCCTCTCAGGGAAATTACTAGAGAGACAAGAAAGGTGACAGTTAAAATACAGTGAATAATGCTATGATATAGTAGTACAGGATGCTATAGCAGCACATAAGAGATGCTGTGGGCACTCCAAAGTCTATTTTAGGAATATCAAAATGATATTGCAAAGAAGACAATTTAGGAGCTCTGAAGAGCTAATCACATCAAGATAGGAACATGGAATGGAGGGGACAGTTGGCAGGTAGAAAAAAGAACATGGAGAGAAGCTTGCAGGTGATGAGACTGTAACATCTTGATTTAACTGACCAGATAAATCAGTATGGCTGGACTAGAGAGTGTAAGTGGGCTTATGTTGAGAGATGAAACTGGAGAGATAGCAGGTCATTAAGGACTTTGAATGTCAAGCTGAGGAATTTCTATCCTGAGCACTGTGGGGAGTATTGAGGGGTTTTAAATAGTGGAATGGTGTAATCATACTTATATTTTAGAAAGCTCAGTTGATTTGAATGGAAGAGCCAAGGTTGGGTCATATTAGAAAGCTTGTTGCTGTAAACGAGAGGTTTTCAGTACCCTTGAAGGGATATTTGGTAGTGTCTGGAGATATATTTGGTTGTCACACTGCCATGGGGGCAGTAGGGTGGTGATGCTATAGGTTCTAGTTTGTATGGCCAGTGTTCTAGACACCACTGGCATTTGCAGTGCTCTGTTGACAATGTCTGCTGGTATTAAGTGAGTCGAAACCATATCTGTGTTGAAATTAAGATCTCCTCTAACAAAAACAACAAACGATGGGATTCTAGTAGTTTTAGAATTCTTCATTGAGCCTTAGCAGAATATTAAACACTAGTGGGTTTATTATAATGTTTCATTTAAAACAAAAACAAAAAAACAACCAAAAAAACCTTCCTACTTTAATAGAGAAATGTGTGTTCTGCATGTATAGCTGAGTGAGATATGGAAAGGAGATATTCTTTAATACCTTTCTACATTTAAAATTATTTCTCTCTGCTCCTTTTGGCAATTATTAACTAAAATTTGTGGTAATTAATTTACCCAGTGTATTGAGGATTTGATGAGCATTTTCTTTTGAAGAATAAAATGGGCAAATTATCTGTGTAATGCCTATTTGTAAAATCAAGGAAATAAAGACTTTTACTTCTTCGATCTTTTGAATGTTGTAATTGAAGAACACAAGGGCTCAAGTGAGAGCCTAGAAACCATTTAAGCCATTTCACTACTGAAACTACTTTATAGGTTTCACTACTTTATACCTGTATCAAGATTACTAACATCACACAATTACCTAATCTGAATCATTTAAACAGAACTTGGAAAAGGTACACATGTCTAAAACTAAAGTGACATATGCTTGATTTGGAATATTAGAGTATCCCTTCCTTATTCATCTCCACTTTATGTACAAATCGGCTTTTATTTCCACACAAGTGTTCTTGCCAAATAGCTCCTTTACAAGGTGACCTCATTTGAACTCTCAGCCATGCCACCCTTCCGTTACACAGGCCCCAGGAGTCAGCCAGGTTTCTAGGTATTGCCAAATTTTTTGGTTCAGAAAAGCCAGGCCTACATTCTGGAGATGGGAATGGTCTTATTAGCTGGATGTAGAAACTTACAGTATCTAGGAAAGAAAAGGTAATGAAATACTATCTAAATAATGCATGTTACCTTTCTTGCATTATGTAAATATATGAAAAATCCCACTATCCGGATACTAAAAAAAGAAATCTTTGGAAAAATAATAAAATTGATAGGAGACTATCTTTTGAGAATAATCTGTATTTCTTACTATAGATAGTAGAGATGTGGAGATTAATCTCTTATTATAGCAGATCTCAATCAAGGGCAAAAATGTAGTAACTAGCAAAAGAAACACCCATATGGTCTTATCACTCAGCCTTAACAATGATCAATTCATAGCTAATCTTTCAACCACTCATTCATCTACCCAGTCCCTCCCTGTTCACCCACCCCCATTCCTCATGTGCCTTGGATTATAAAGAAAATCCTAGACATTATGTCATTTTATCCACGAATATTTCAGTATGGGTCCAAAAATAAGGGCTCTTTAACAACATCACAGTATCATTATAACACCCTATACATTATAATTATAAGAAATATAATTCCTTAATTTCGTCAACTATCAAGCCAGTATTGAATTTTCTTGGTTGTCTCAAAAAGTTTTTTGTTTGTTTCAAACAGAATCCAAATACAATCCATGCATTGCAACTGATTAATAACTCTTAGGCTTAATTTATGCCCAAAATGGATTTTTTATTGCAAGATACTGGAAGCCCAGAAAAATAAATAAGAAAGTGAGATTTTGAATTTTTGGTAGAAAGCACAGATATTATCTGAGGTATTTACATCGGTGATAGTTTTATTCAGCCACAAGAAAAAGAAATTAAGAAGCCTTAGATAGAATATAATATAGGCATCTTAATATAGGCATCTTTTAGATTTGCTTTGGTATCATGAGGCCTTTTTTTAGGGGGATGAGGGGAAGCAAAAATCTCTCTGGCTTATGCTTAGTTATGCTTTGTGACTAAAAATCTCAGTACTGGTGTAGTCTAATGGATGTTAATGTAAACTGGCTTTGTTTCTTGAGTGTCTGCATTTTGTAGGTTAAGTGTTTAGTGGTTTAGCTAACTAAACTATGTATCATCCTAGTAAGCTGTAATGTGTTAGTAGCTATTTTATCCTACCAAGATGGTATGTGCAACGCTTCATGTTCTCTTAGCCTGGGAAGAGTAGGAGGTGGTGGTCTTAAGGAAGAAAGCGGCACAGCTAAACACAAATGAAAACTGTTGTGTTTTTGAAGCAGATAAAAGCAGAGACTTTTAAGCCTGGTGTATTTTCTTACTACTCATTCATTATAATGTTTACAAAGGAATATATCATTTCACTTAGGAAAATGACTACATTAATTCATACTTTGAAGATGGAGATGACTTTGGCGCAGACAGTGATGACAACATGGATGAAGCAACCTATTAGGCATGAAATTTTTAAAAAAATATTTTTATGATGCCGCTTCTGAACATTTGGACAGACTTATTTCTGATAAGGTATAAGTATTTATGTTTTTGTTTTTTTGGACAAGTAGTTGTCACCAAAATATTCAAAACCACTTTGAGTTTACATACTAGTTACCTTACAAATTAGTCCCTGATACTCTTGACATTCCTTCTAAACACCTCTGCCATCTCTCTTATGTACTCTCGTGGATTTTTTCGTATTTGAATATGAATGTGCCTAAAGAATTTATGCTCTCTTAATCTATGTATACATACTTGAAGAAATCATTCTTGCTTAACTGCTGATCTTTTATAAAATTATTGCTAGTCATAATGAATTTCTATAACCTGAAAGTTGATATAACAGCACATGGAGCACTTTAAAAACAAAGAAACTTGAAAATAATTTTGGTTTTTACTTTTACATAGTATGTTCTAGACTACTGCATTTTGACTACATAAACCTACCTGAGCTCTTACAAGTGCAGAATTGTGAGATAGAGGTTTTGTGATGGAAAACATACACACAGGGAAAAATACCAAACTGAGCAATATCAAGTTCAGAGCTCACATCTTAGCCAGTACAAAGAAACTTTCACATAGGGTGAATATTATAAATACTTGAATTTGGCACTCACTTGATACTGTATGATATATAAATTAATCATGTCACTGTAATAATTTGGACATCTTCAAATAGTTGGGCTTATGAAAAACTTGACTAAGACACTTTATTTTGTCCTTTATGTAAGTGTGAAATAAGTTCTGGTCATATAAATATCACTGTAGAATGCATGTGTGTGAACTTTATGAAGTATGGTGGCCTTTTATGTTTCAGAGTACTCAAGTTGTACATTTGATTTATATAAATGCAGAATGAACTCAGGTCATTTTGAAATTAAGATTTTTTTTGTCTAACTTTAAATCTAGCTCCCCCAACTTTATATACTTTTGGGGGGAAAAATGCCTAAAAACCTTCACCTACAAAGACTCTCACAAATGCCAAAGATTTTCAAGGAAATTCATATTATATATTTGAAAAAATGATTTATCAACGTTATCTACCAAAAGAAATTATTTTTTCCCTTTGGGAAGATATCATTAACCTGAAATGTGAGAATCTGATCCCTAGATTCTATTTCTACCTGTACTATTAAACTCAACCTTGAAACTGAGCGTGGTTGTTTATGTGCCTTAGTTTCTTCACTCGTACACAATTTCCTATAAAAGTTGTTTAAACACCAACCAAAATTTACTATATGTAGTTATTCTCTTTAAAGATGACTTCTTAATTTACATTTGGTTCTCATCCTCTAAAAATTTATAGTTTGCGAAGTAACTGAAAACACAATTTTGAGAAACATGTTTTCCTCACAAAATATAATCTGATTTTCCTATCTTGTATTCACGCAGAAAATTGGAGAAAATGTGTATTGTCTTGTGCCATTTTGCAACATGAGTTTCTCAGGAAAAAGATCACTTTCAATGGCAATACTTTCTTAAATAATTCAACATGGGTGTGAGTACCTATCTTATTAGTGTAGTGTTATATTAACCATTTGTGAATTATTTTTAATGGAAGTTGTAAAACAAATTTAAGGTTCCAAATGGAATACATGAATAAAATAAACCTGAGAATAGAAAACACACATAAAGTTGTCATTTGGGGTTAATTAACATAGGTGTTTTATTCTCTCACTACCTTAGTCCAGAACTAAAGATTCTCAGAAATCTTATCAATATTTTTCTGTTTACCTACTTATTAAAAATCTTCAGATAACCACTTGACCAGGCAAATACACTGAAGGTAATTTCTTTTTTTTACCTTTGAATTTGTCATGACCATTTTAGTCTTGCAGATAGCAGGGCAGCCCCTTGGGTCACCAGCCATCCCCTTTAAGAGCCTTCTTTTTACAATGTTAAAGTTAATTATGAGAACAAGCAGTATTTGCAGGTTGCTTTACCAGCATGAATATCATTCTCCTGGCTTAAAATCTGAGACTGTGAAATTATTCCATAGGAAAGTGAATTTTATTTTGCAGAGATAGCCTCTTAGATAAAAGTAGTTGTTGAAGTATCTTTAAAATTGCTATCATGAGCAAAACTGTTTGGTTACTATAATGCTTATTTTTCTGTATTTGTTTACACACATTCTTATGAAATTGTGTTCCTTTGTTTTATAGTAAGATGTTTTATTTTGAACTTATTTAAATGTATAGAGAAAACTAATTTGTTAATACAGATCTTACCTAGTAACTATTGAGCAGTAACTATTACAAATATTCTTGAATAAACTATCACCACAAACAACAAAACTCTGGGTAATGATTATATAAAAAGGTTGTGAACTGGGCATGCTGGTCTGCGCCTATAGTCCGAGCTACTCAGGAGGCTGAGCCCAGGAGGTTGAGGCTTCAGGTGAGCCAAGGTGGTTAAATGAGACACATACACACACACAAATTTGTGATAACAAACTTAAGAGATTTGGCAGGCAATATAATTTAGTGTGATCATTTGTATTTGGGCCGACTTATACTGGATACCAGGGAATGTTAAGACATTCAGATTCTTGTTAAATCTACTTCACTACCTTCACATGTACAGTGTCAATGGCTTTGCTTTTACATGGTTAAAATCTCAAGCCCATGTGATGGCATGTGCCTGTAGTCCCAGCTACTCGGGAGGCTGAGCTGGGAAGATCAGTTGGCCCCAGGAGTTCAAGACTGTAGTGAACCATCATGCCACTGCACTCCAGCCTGGGCAACAGACCAAGACCCTGTCTCAAAAACAAAATTAAAAAACAAAACCTCTGTAGTAAAAATTTCCATTTTATTAAAAACATAATTTTAAGGTCAAATGCATTTAAAAATGGAAAAGAAAACCACAGGGATTATACAAATTCCTCCATTAAATAAATAAAAGCTCCAAAGAACCTTCTCAATTTTTCTGCTAATAATCTTTTAAACAGTATTGTTGAGGTTTTGTGTTTTACAATAAATTAAAATTTACGTATAAATAGAGCAGGTTATGATCTGTAGATAATGACTCATCTACAACTTCATAGCAATTCCTAGACCACATGTTACCAGATCTTACCCTGAGAAAAATCCCCTAAAGAACATTCATCTAAAATGTTTTATCTATGTCTTACAAATAATCCAGGGTATTTTGCTTCGCTGTAGCAAGTGGGAAATCTGAATTGGTAAACCTCTGTCAATCTGTTCTATCTTACATAATATCCCTATTATCCCTATATTAGATAGTTTGAAAGTGGCGGAGAAAAGGTTTGCTTTATTCAATTAAATTCACTAGCTTCCATTCCAGATTGAATAATAAAAACTTTATTACATGTTGCAGATCTTTCAAAATATGAAAAATAAGGGGCAAGAAACTTTAAAAACTGGTTTTACAGATGTACATGCTAATACAAGATTTATAGGTTTTTGCATACATAAAAATTAAAGCATTCAGATATTTCCATGATCTAACAGTACGATATGCACATACGTGGAAGAAACTGATTACCTGAGCAACATTTTTGTAACTCAAATTAAGAATGAATCCTATCAGTGCACCATTTAAATACAGACTTTAAAAAACTCCACCTTTACCGTGTAACACTGACTGGATCCTTTACTCATATTTCCAAAACTAACTGTATCCTTCATATTTCCAACTAGATAATTTTAGAAGTAGATACTTTAAAAAAGAACTAAGTAGTGGTTCATTTAAAGAACTCTTCAGGGCACTGAACCAAGCTGGTAGAACCCAGAAAAAGAAAAGCTGTAAATAAGTCCTTTGGAGAAGATAATTTAACATGAGTCTTCTGATTTTTAATGTGGCCAGCCGAGTCTGTAACCATTTTAACGTATCTTTGAAAACATGAACCCCATAACTTTCTAGAGTGGGGCGACAAAAAATTTTAACACAGACTTCATAAAACTATCGGCTTTTTCTTTATTTGCTAACTCCCAAATTTTAAGTGAACCAAATGCAATGATTCTGTTGTTACTTTTACACTGCATACAAGTGCACATGTGCACGTAGACACACACACAGACACACATCTAAAGCTGCAAATTCAAATAAGCATGTGAACACAAAATCTACAATGTTAAACAGTAACTGTGCTTGTTAATTAGTTATACAAGATAATTTGCATTTGATACCAACTTACATTAGTACCTTTTAGAAACTAAAATTATTCCACATGTATTCAATGCTTGGAAAATTCTTTTCAAAACCTTAGAACCATAATTCAATATGTAACCTTTATATAGAATTACATGTAATACAAATTATATTCAATAATTCAAAAATATATAATTTAAATATAGAAAAAAACCTGCCTGATTGTGTTATCAGGATGTATATTTCCTTTGAAAAGGATACTCTACAAAACAAATGATTTTTAATCAACAAGTACACAGCACACCTTATTCATTTTTTAAAAATAAATTATGGGCTGGGCGCGGTGGCTCAAGCCTGTAATCCCAGCACTCTGGGAGGCCGAGGCGGGTGGATCACGAGGTCAAGAGATCGAGACCATCCTGGTCAACATGGTGAAAAACCGTCTCCACTAAAAATACAAAAAATTAGCTGGGCATGGTGGTGCGTGCCTGTAATCCCAGCTACTCAGGAGGCTGAGGCAGGAGAATTGCCTGAACCCAGGAGGCAGAGGTTGCGGTGAGCCGAGATTGCGCCATTGCACTCCAGCTTGGGTAATAAGCGCAAAACTCCGTCTCAAAAAATAAAATAAAATAAAAAAATAAATTATGTATTTTGGAAATCGAACTCATAACAATTTCAAAGTACAATGAGCAAAAAAGGACTCAGACTATAATTTCATCAACTTGATGTAAACAAAGTTCTTCAAATGACACCTGGCCTGTTTACCCTAAAATAATCTGCATTTTCTTCCGTAAAACCTCATTTTTCAGCAGGCTTAATAAATACAATGTAAACTGGCCAGTTAACACTGAGCATAAATTATATCACACTCTTCAAGATGATGAAGGCACGTTAAAACAATTTTTAAATGATTAATTTACTACAAGAATCAATTTGCAACTTCCCTATTAAACACTTTTCAGTAATTGTCTAAGTCTAGTATCTGCAAGGGCTTTAATGTTTGACTCTTCTTTTCCTGAAAGTATATAAAACTATTTGCCTTAAATAATTTATTTATTTATGCCACTTTGTATCAAGATTGAAATTTGAAATATATAAAATGACTGATCAAAAGCTTGAAACATCAACAATTAGGAAATAATGCCCAGAAAATGAGGTGGAGGTGTTATTATATATCTTAATTATATACTTTATTATATACAAAACAGGCAATCCAGACTCCACCAAATCTCATTTCTATTGAAGAATCATTCTGGTTACATTTTTAAAACACATACTTCTAAAGATTAAATGATGGAATCAGTATGCAAATGCTTCTTACTTAGTCAGACTGTAGCTGACTCAACAGATCTTAAAAAGAGGCATATTACACCCTTTCAAGCAATCTATACACCTTTGGCCTTTGTTTCCCAATTTGATGCTATATATATAGTTCAGGAAAAAATTCTAAATTGGATATTTTCTCTCTGAAAAACAGAGGTTAAGGGATTACTAAATGATTTGTCGGTCACTGCTAATACAAAAGATCTCCCTCTACCCGTTTTTGCTTAATGAACCATTTTCTTCAACAGACCTCAGAGGCAGTTTTGACCCAATTATTTGTGCTTTGATGGTCAAAGTGGAGACAAATTTGTATAGCCTGTGTAACGAATCTTATTGGACCATCTGAAATAATGCTTACTTTTAATTCTAAAACTTGTATTTAAAAAAACAGTAAGGCATTAAATGTAATTAAGGCATGTTACTATATGTAACAGCAATGATTTATCACAGTAAGAAATTATTTCCTAAATAATGTCAATAGATATAAGTTTAACATATTTTTCATCATCGAAACTATAAAAGTACTTTCAGATATCAGAGGCAAATATAATCACTTTAAAAACAGGTACACAGAGGTGAGGTTAAAGGGTCTGTCCTGGAGAAACCATTCTTAAGACAAAAATTACTGTTAGGTCTTTGCCTAGTCCAGTGTTCTACTGAATTCCCAACCATAACACATTATTTAGGGGTCTTCAAAATATTTCATTTCTTGGCCTCTGTTGTAGAAATTATAATTTACCTTCCCCTCTTCGTACATATGCTTTCACAGCACATGTGCTAAGTGTTATTTTTTAAAAGTTTCAAAGTGGTATGTTAGGTATGCTACCATGAATAATTTTAGAATCAAACATTCTTGCAACTGAATATTTTGGGGGTTCATAGTAAATTTTTTTCAATTGCAGTCATCTGATGCTATCATTCTGCATCATAAATTTAATAATAAACTCTTTAAAAATTACTTCAAAAAATAAAATTTAAGCATACATCTTAAGAAAAATGATATATCTTCCAAGTTAAGAATTTCCTAAATACATGTTTAAATTCACTTCTGCTTGAAACACTGACACACCAGATTTATGGATCAACTGCTCTTAACATGAACAACTAGTTGCTCAAGACTTTTCAAAGTATAAAACCCTTTTGTTAAAAACAAAAGCATCCTCAATCTCTCTAAATTCTGCCTTTGGAGTGATTATTGGATATAATTGATTCACCACATTCCAGATGCACGTGATCACTAACATTTGATTATAAGCTAATTGCTATGTTTCACGTTGAGCAGCAGGTGACTGAGAATCTTGACTATACAGTTTATGATCATCTTGTTGGCCAAAGTGTATTCCTTTAGTTGGGGCAATTCCGTTTTCCATTTCTCTCTGCTGTGATGGTGGTGTGATTTTTGAATGTAAATGTGAAGAATCCACTGTTGAATGATGACTAACATCCACTTTAGCTAAAATTTCATAATACAATAAATAAAACACTGGTGTTATTATACCTACTATCAACATTATCACTACAGCTGTCCACCACCCTATTCCCCAGTCTGCTCCATAATAGGGATCTTTATGTTGAGTGTTTTTGTTATCAGGTTCAAAACGTATTTGTTGTGCGGTTAAGGCCGATACGACCTCATTGAGGTTCTCTCTCTTATTGTCTGTACACTTTACTATTTGTTCTATGTCTCGGTCTACTTCTTTTAAAAAGCTACCAGCTGAGTCACTGTAAGAAAGAGAATCATTAGCTGGCAAAAGTTCCTGTTGTTCAGAAGAGTATTGAACCGATGAATGATGTGAAGTCTGTCTTCCTTTTGGAGGACAAAGTGTTTCAGTCAAGGAACTGAACTTTTTTACTGGAATTTTGATAGACCTAAGGGCAAAAAAGTCTTGATCACTGATGAGATTGTTAACTCTCTTGATATCTGCTACCTGTAGGAAAAAAAAAAAAAGGCAACATACAACTGAATTCTAAGTCAAAATAAAAGTAGCAATACTCATTCATCCCAGTTACTTTTGGAGGGAAAAAAAGTTGAATTCAATTAGTAGTATTACGTTACACCCGGAGAGATTTTCATTTTATTTGTAGATGAGAATTCTACACCACTTTAGATCTACCACTCTTAGGAAATCACCAACTACTTTTTACTACCACCCATATATATTAGTAACACTAGTTAATGCTATTTAAGTAGATTCTAGAATCCTTTGCTGTTTCCCTTTGTGCATCATGCATAAATACCACAGTCCTTATGTTTGGAAACAATTTGTGAAGGAAGGATTATGAGCAGTTATATTTATTTCAATTCGAAATATGGAATATAGACAAATGCTATCCAACTAAAACTACCATATTTTATCAAAATTAAGATGCCATAACTCTAAGATGCAGCATTATTTTATGTATATTTAGGGGGAAAAAAAGCTTCACCAAAAACTGAAGATGCCACCATTCCAATTTTAAAGATGCTAAAATGCATGGAAAAGTATACCTTAGAATTCAAAAAATTGGTAATTTATCCCCCTCACTTCTGAAGCCATTTCCCCCCAAAACTTCTCAGTGTAAGTGCATTATTCAACTACTTTCAAAATTACTCATTTTTATAAGCTTTATATATTACATATTCCTCTACCCGTTTATATATCCCATCCACTGTGAGATAACTTGTCTGTATATCCTATTCCATTGTGTTGGGGGAAGAGGAATGTTTGTCAAATTACCAATTGGTATGTCAGGCTCTCCCACCATCTATTAGTCCCATTCATTTCCATCAATGCTTTAATCTAAGATCTAATCATGCATCGCCTAATTGATGTCAGAGAGATAAAGTGGGTCTAGTATGAAGCTTAGATTTCTGGTTGGTCAACTTGATGGATGATGGCATTCACTGAATAAATGGAATACTATGGAGGGTAAGGAGAGAGAAGATGAATGCAGATTTTAGACATGCTGACTTTGAGGTGCTTGAGATATACAAGTGGAAGATGTTCAGGACAGAGTTGTAAATATATGTCTGAAACTCAAGAATGATCTCTGCTACAGATACAGATTTGTGGACTATCAGCAAAAATGTAATTGAAGTTGGCTGGGCCTGGTGGCTCATGTCTGTAATCCCAACACTTTGGGAGGCCGAGGCAAATGGATCACCTGAGGTCAGAAATTCGAGACCGGTCTGGCCAACAGGTTTAGTAGAAACCCTGTCTCTACTAAAAATACAAAAATTAGCCAGGCATGGTGGCGCATGCCTGTAGTCCCAGCTACTCGGGAGGGCAGGAGAATCACTGGAACCCAGGAGGCAGAGGTGGCAGTAAGCCAAGACTGTGCTACTGCACTCCAGTCTGGGCAACAGAGTAAGACTGTCTCAAAAAAAAAAAAAAGGTAATTGAAGTCAAAGAGTAAACAGAGTCACCAGAAATCGCCTGGGAGAAAAAAATCAACAGGAAGATCCCTAAGGAACGCCAACATTTGATGGGTATGCCAAGTAACAGAAACCCACAAGGAGATTAAGAATGGCCAGGAAGGGAATATACAAGAGTGGTTAAAAGCATGGATAACTGGGTTTGAAGCATGACTGTGATACTTTCTAGCTGTATCACCTGGGGCAAGCTGTTTAACCTCTTTGCCATTCAGATTCCATACCTGCAATAGGGCAGTAGTAATACTACCTACATTTAGGGTTGAAGTGAACATTAATGATTTAAATTTTGTAGGACACTCAGAACAGTGATATACAGTATATTATATAAAAGTTAGCTATTATTAAATGTTAATAGTAGGAAAACCAGAAACCTGAAAAGTCAAGGTGGTCAAGTCGAGAGGGTTCTTTAGGAGGGAGTAGTGAACAGAATCAACTGTAGATTGGTGATCAACTACAATGAAGACTAAAAGAAGTCAAGCTGGAAAAATTCTCTTGGAGTGTATGTGTAAGAGGATTAGAAGGAAAGGGTTGAACAATAAAGATGAAAGAGTAAAAAAAAAAAGGGTGTTTTATCATCTTACTACCTTCACACTGTTTTGTCTTACAGCAAATGAAGATTCACTGAAAACTCCAAAGTTTGACCCCATTGTCTTTAAATGCTCTTTTGCTTAGTATTGTGTACTCTTACTTCTTAATTTTTTTTGGAATTAGTGTTTTCAAGGTTTAGTATTTACCTAAGTTGTCTCTCTGAATATCCATATAATGATTTCTATGCTATTCTAATTTCCTTTGTTGCATTCAAGATTCCAACCTTGGTGGACTTTTTATTCTCATCACAGTTGTATCACTGACATATTTTTAATAATTCTTAAGATTATTTCTAAGTGGAATATACCACTATTTATGGTATTTTAAAAATGATAAATCCTTTTATAATTTTTTTCTGTTGCTTATGCTACCATCAAAAAGGAGCATTGCTTATCTTAACTGATTCTGTTGATCACCTTTCCCACTATAGTGGCTGATATCATTTGGATATGTGTCCCCACCCAAAGCTCATTTCATCTTGTAAACTCCAATGCTGCAGATGGGGCTTAGGCAGGTGATTGGATCATGGGGATGGATTTCCCCCTTGATACTGTCCTGAGTTCTTGTAAGATCTGGTTGTTTAAAAGTGTGTGGAACCTCCTCCCTCACTTGCTGTTCCTCCTGCTCCAGCCATGTGAAAATGCCTGCTCTGGCTTTGCCTTCCATTATGAGTAAAAATTGAGGCCTCCCCAGAAGCAGATGCTGCCTGCTTTCTGTATAACCTGCAGAACCATGAGCCAGTTAAATCTCTTTTCTTATAAAATACCCAGTCTCAAGTGTTTTATAGCAATGCAAGCACAGACTAATACAGTGACCAGTGCCATCTCTCCTCTAATGTTAAGCTAAGCACTTTTCATCATTGTCATTTCACATAAGCAATCAGCTGATATATCCTGTGATTTTTCCCAATATATTTTTAAACACTTCTTTTCTATCCTTATCATAAACATTTTAGTCTAAGTCCCAATCTTCTTTATTATTCCAGTAATCTCTTTATTGGATCCCCTTCAATTCATCAGCAGGCCCCTCGCTATTCTGTATCACTCCTATTAAATCCCTAAATTGTGTTCTCTTACTATATAGATCAAACTTTTCCATTCTGTATCACTCCTGTTAAAACCTTACAATTGTGTTCTCTTACTGTATGGATCAAACTTTTCCTCAGGGTCTCAAAGCACTTCATCCCAAACAGTCTGTACCACTCATTTCTGAAATATCTATGAAAATTCCCTTTGTTACCATATTTCCTCCTTGAAATCTTCACACCACTGAACACATTTTTCCTTTGCACCTCACTGGAAAAATGACTTTATTTTTGAGATGGGGGTCTCACTCTGTGGCCCAAGCTGGAGTGCAGTATTGTGATCTTGGCTCACTGCAACCTCCGCCTCCCGGGTTCAAGCAATTCTCCTGCCTCAGCCTCCCGAGTAGCTGGGATTACAGGAATGTGTCACCGCGCCCAGTTAATTTTTTTGTATTTTTTAGTAGAGATGGGGTTTCACAATGTTGGCCAGGTTGGTCTCAAACTCTGGAACACAGGTGATCCACCTGCCTCAGCCTCCCAAAGTGCTGGGATTACAGGCGTAAGCCACCGCACCCAGCCAGAAATATGACCTATTTTTAATTATTCAGATGGTATGTCACATTCCCCTAAGAGAATTTTCTAGGTTCATTAAAAGAAAGTTAATGTCTTTCTCTTATAAAACTACTGAATCACACTTCTCTTGGATCTGTACCTTGACGTTTTTAGCCTTGTCTTTGATTTCAAAGTTTATTCCACTATCTACCTTCTGTGACATATTCTGTAATTTATTTCTCAATGGTCTTATTTCTCTACAAAACATTTACTCATGTTTATTTGCATTTAGAAATAAACTTAGCTATCTTCTGATTTAATAACAGCAGGAATCGGTGTTGCCTTACATGAGCAAGGTAGGAGGAAAAAAACTACCCAGCTCTTAAACCACATCAAAAAATTCAGTAGTTGTAAATGTAGAAAAAACACAACCTCATGACCATAATTTTTTTAGGATGCAATATAAATTTATATATATGTTTATATAATATAAACTTATAGACGTGTGGTCCTATTGCAGAGAAGTATTACAGATAGTCAATAAAAGGGTTTTCAATTATAAAAATAGTTTATATCATGAAAAATTTGGGAGGAAGATGAAATTAATGAGAAAAAGGAATAATATAAAATCTCATGCTATTAATAAAACAGCTCTCATACATACACACACTTTACACTTTTTTGTTAAATTCAGATTTCAGGTAGCAAATCCAAGTGGTATTTAGAATTCTGAGGATGCATTTACAGAGCACTCTAAAAGTCTTATTTTTAAATGTCAATACTGACAACATTCTGAAAATTATACCCTTTGTAACTATTTTAAGTTATGAGGAAGAATTTAAGAAGTTTGCTTAAAAATGTGCAAGGAGGTACAGGTACATAGTACCTATATTTCAAAATTCTGTTGGGAGTATGAAAGCAAAAAGTTCAAAAACATTTGTTTTAGCCATTTTCCATATCAGTGAATTTGAGGCCTTAGGAGGATATAAAAATATCCTGCTGGCCGGGTGCAGTGGCTGACACCTGTAATCCCAGCACTTTGGGAAGCCAAGGTGGGTGGATCACGAGGTCAGAAGTTCGAGAACAGCCTGACCAAAAACAGTGAAACCCCGTCTCTACTAAAAATACAAAAACTAGCCATGCCTGGTGGCACACACCTGTAATCTCACCTACTCAGGAAGCTGAGGAAGGAGAATTGCTTGAACCTGGGAGGCAAAGGTTCCAGTGAACCAAGAGCACACCACTGCACTCCAGCCTGGACGACAGGGTGAGACTTCATCTCAAAAAAGCGAAACAAAATACACACACACACACACCCACACACACCCACAGACACACACTGCTAAGGCCTTAGGATGGACATAATGACACAGATAGAAAATGGGTCCAAATAGAGTACAGTATCTATTAAAATTAAAAATACACCTTTCGGTTCACGCCTGTAATGCCAGCACTTTGGGAGGCCCAAGGCGGGCAGATCATGAGGTCAGGAATTCAAGACCAGATTGGCCAATGTGGTGAAACCCCATCTCTACTAAGAAATAACAAAAATTAGCTGGGCGTGGTGGCTCGTGCCTGTAATCCCAGCTACTTGGGAGGCTGAGGCAGGAGAATTGCTTGAACCTAGACCTGGGAGGCGGAGGTTGCAGTGAGCCAAGACTGTGTCACTGCACTCCAGCCTAGGCTACAGAGTGAGACTCTTATCTCAAAAAAAAATTTCTTCTTATCTAGCAATCCCACTTTTGGGATTTATCCCACAGAAATAAAGATACCACCATTTAAAGATATAGTTGTGATGATATTCGCCACACAAGGTAAAACACCAAGAAAATCCTAAGCATCAATTAATAGGGCAATGGCTTAAATATATTGGAACATTAATAATATGGACATTATATAACTATTTAAGATAATGAGTTAGCTCTATAAGGCTTTGAGGGATGGTCATAAGGGTGTCCATGATACACTAAATAATGAAAAATGCAAGTTGCAGAATAATATGCGTAATAAAACCACTTTTAAAAACAGAGGACTAACTCCCCAAGTATGTACATATAAATAAATACTTATTAGCACAAAATAAGGTACAGAAAAATGCTAAAGTAATTATTTCAAGAAATTGGGGCATCAAAAAGCTTTTCCCGACATATTTCCACATTTTCTTACCATTTGAATAAGATGATAAAATAGTTAAGTGTTTTTCAACACTGAAATTTGTGGATTTGGAAATACAGAGAAATTGAAGTATTCACTTAAAATTTTAAAAAGTAAACATCTACAAATGTGACACAGATTTCTATGCAAAGAATAAGAGCAAAAAATGGAGAAAGGAATAAACAAGGTAAAAAATGACATGGAATTTAGTTCAATGTGGGTAAACAAATAATTTAATCTGGATTGCATTAAAACTTACCGTACAACAGTACTGAAGAGCTATTGCATTTAATGTATCTCCTTCTTGTATATCTTTTGTTAATACGATAATGTCATCAAGTCTATCTCTTGATGTACTTCTTCGGAATTTCTCTTTTCCTCTGGATCGAAGCTCATATACTTCAGCATCCTCCTCCAACATATCACTGTCTGAACAATTTCCAAATGCATGTACTTGACCACTCGACTGAACTCCTGGAAGAGGAAAACTACGATTCTGATGCCTCCCTGCCATAATGTTAAAATCTGGAGGGGGAAAAGGAAAAGCAGAGAAAATTTTGGAATGTAGCTGATCTAACTGACTGATTTGCATGCATCGTACATTCAGGACACAATCTTTTGTTTTTGTTTTAATGGTTTTAGTTATTTAAACGTTTAGGTTCAAGGTTTTTTGTTTTTTGAGATGGAATTTCACTATTGTTACCCAGACTGGAGTGCAATGGCATCATCTCGGCTCACCGCAACCTCTGCCTCCTGGGTTCAGGCAATTCTCCTGCCTCAGCCTCCCGAGTAGCTGAGACTACAGGCACGCACCACCATGTCCAGCTAATTTTTGTATTTTTAGTAGAGACGGGATTTCGCCTTGTTGACCAGGATGGTCTCGATTTCTTGACCTCATGATCCACCTGCCTCGGCCTCCCAAAGTGCTGGGAATATAGGCGTTAGCCACCGCGCCTGGCCCTTGTTTTATTTTTTTGAGATGGAGTCTCACTCTGTCACCCAGGCTGGAGGGCAGTGGTGCAATCTCAGCTCACTGCAACCTCTGGCTCCCAGGTTCAAGTGATTCTCCTGCCTCAGTCTACCGAGTAGCTGGGATTACAGGCGCCCAACACCACGCCTGGCTAATTTTTGTATTTTTAGTAGATACAGGGTTTCACCGTGTTGGCCAGGCTGGTCTTGAGCTCTTAATGTCAGGTGATCCACCTGCCTTGGCCTCCCAAACTGCTGGGATTACAGGCGTGACATGAAGCCACAAATGGAAAATTCCACACCTGACATTTTAGATTTCAGATTAGGAATGCTAAACCCGTACGGGTATTCTGGTGATATGCTTAGGTACCCTGAACACATTATTTTTTTCACTCTATTAATGGTATGTCATAGTTTTTTTGTTTTGTTTTGCTGTTAAGTACTTATGTGTAAGTGTAAGAAAATGATTGCTTATTAGTAGCATATAATTCAGAGTTAGAAATGCTTGTGATGCCAAACAACCACAGATTTTCCACAAGCGTGGCTGAAATAGTGACACTTTGCTTATGGTTCCAGGTACAAAAACTTTGGTGCACAAATTATATAAAATTCCCTTCCAGCTATGTGTATAAGGTGAATATGAAACACAGATTTCGTGTTCAGATGGGTCCCATCCCCAATATATCTCATTATGTATATGCAAACATTCCAAAATCCAAAGAAATCTGCAACACTTCTGATCTCAAGCATTTCAGGTAAGGAAAACTCAACCTGTACTCTCTATGTAGGCATGTACTTACCATAAAATGTTTTGAAACTATTTAATATAGTTGAATCCAACCCTTAAAAACCAGTTTCTAATGGCAATATTATAATGCTTTAAAAACTCAAGAGTTCCTACTAAGATAACACAGATAACTAATATGTTAAGGAGATTATTTCAACTGTTCCCTGAAGTGCTACATTACTTATTACCAAGAACTAGGACTCCTAACTTGACAGTTATGAAACTAAAGAAAACTATCACATTTTATATCTCAAAGGCAGTTTTGAAGTCATGATCACATTTTTTCCTCCAAGGATAATGGTTTTATTTCCACTCATTTCTTTTCATTTTTCTTTTTTTTGAGATGGGAGTCTCGCTCTTGTCACCCAGGCTGGTGTGCAATGGTGCGATCTTGGCTCACTGCAACCTCTGCCTCATGGGTTCAAGCGATTCTCCTGCCTCAGCCTCCAGAGTAGCTGTGATTGCAGGCACCTGCCCCCATGCTCAGCTAATTCTTTTATTTTTAGTAGAGATGGGGTTTCACCATGCTGGCCAAACTAGTCTAACTCCTGACCTCAGATGATCCGCCCACCTCAGCCTCCCAAAGTGTTGGGATTACAGGCGTGAGCCACCACGCCCAGCTCCTAGTCTTTTTTTAATCTTGTGTCTTTAATCTAGGGAATGTCTGTGCATCCTGTGGATTCCAGGCAAATTTTATACATGGGTATATTTTTCTGGGGAGAATATTACTTCATACTCTCAAAAGACATCCATAATCAAAAAATGTAAGACTCAATATACAGCAATTTACACGTGGCTATACCGACCTACTTATGCTGTCCCTTTAGACACTTTCTCCCTAATAATTTGTTCTTAACAACTTCAAAAACTGGCTTAGTTTTTGCTAAAACTTAGCTTAGTACAAGCTAACTGAAAATCACTAAGCAATGGCCCAAAGCCATTTTAGATACTGATTTATATCAACCTCTCTCCACGATATATTTCTAAATAATAATTTAAAGGTAAGAATTTCACCTGTCTCACTATCTCTCCACTCCCCTTTATAATGAAATGCGGGCAGCTGACTATCATATTACAAAACTGGGTATTCTGAATGATCAAGAACTGGCGGTGTCTCTAACCGAAGTGAACAAACTGACCCAGGCAATCACTCTAGTCAACTACTCAGATATTAGAAAGTACATAATATATAAGTCATCTGGCTCAATCCTATTCACTTGTCTTAATTCTTTTAGTGCAGGAAAAAGGCAGAACTCCCTCTTCAGAAACCTGGAACAAGCTTGCACGCTAGATTACAAGAGGCCACAAAACAGTGTTAAAGCATTCATCAGCTCATTCTGTAACTGAAAATGGTTTCCCAAACATCTTCGTACTGTAGAAAGGTGCTGCTGGATGTTTTGCCTTGACCCTCTTTAAGCAGGGAGCAATAAGAGGGTCACAGGGCACAAACCAGAGCTGCACCGGGACACAATCAAAGGCACCTTATCCGCTGCCAGGGCCTATTTCGTTTTTTAAAACTTAACTTCCTCCCCAAAACATTCCACACGTCAAGTTTTTCTTTCCCTGCTATCAGAGACGATTACGTCTCAGATTCTTCTGTCACAGCATGACACTTGAACGATATGAAAGATGTCGTCAGCTAATGTTTCATGCGAACATAAAGTTGTGGTAGAAATGCAGTGTTTGAGTGGGAAATGAGCTGTCCCGGTTATCCAGCAGGTAGGCATCCTTCCTCTGAGCCTCCGTCTCCCCGACAGTGTAACAAGGGGGCCTGGTGGGGTTGGTCTGGAAGTTTTTCCCTGCCTTAGGGGTGTCCTCCACGCGGGCCGAGCGCCGCCCCGCTGCCCCCACCTCACCTGTGGCCGACGGCTCCGTGCCTTCTCCAGTGAGAACGCAGCTGGGGTCCAACCCCGCCCGCCAGGACCAGGCCACCCTCACCTCCTGCCACCATCTTTACCTGTCCCGTTAGCAGGGGGCACTCAGCAAGGATACTGCTATCAGTTCCGCCGCCGCCGCTGTCCCAAGCAAGTTCATAGCCGAGCCTCCGCTTTTGGCTGACCCGGTCCGCCTCCGCCTCTGCCTCTGCCGCCAACGTCTCCGCCTTCCGGGCCGTACGCCGCCGCCACGTCCGCAAACCTGCGGTGCGTCATCGCGTCAAGTGGGCGGAGGTGGGAAGGGGCGGGGGAGGAGGCGCAGGGCAAGCCGAGAACAGGGGAGTCCAGCCGCAGGTCCACGCCCCGCACGCAAGCGCGGGGACTTCGCTATGGCCTGGGGGCGGGTCCAACTCCCAGCCCCGCCCTTGACTCCTTTCCATCTCCCCAGACGCCTCACTCCTCGCGGGAAGGATCTGCTAGACAAGTCAGCGGAACGAGCCCGCGATCCCCGGCGACCTGCTGGCTACGCCTTTGTCCATGGTGCTGGCAGAGACTGTTGGGGGCGCACTGAGGACGAGGCGTGGCTGAGGATGTGTCGGGGAGCTGTCCTGCATATTTTTCTTGCTCTGCATCTCGAATTTTCTTTAGAGTGGGGAAGGACACCTCAAAAGCACTGTTGACATCATGATTTCAGAAAAGTGCACCATGCTTATTACCCTTTTCATGCTGAAGACTCTAGACTGCCGCAGAAGAGGCAAAATACTGGAGAGAAACCCCTGGGGGACCGGGAACGAGGATTGGAGGGGGTTATTTCAACCTTTGTGTTTATAGGTGAGGAAAGTGAGCCACCTAAAGTCAGGCCTCGGGAAATGCTTTCCCTGGCTCAAGGAGTCAAGGGCGTCAATAAATTGTAATCTAACTTCTTTTGGTTTGAAAATTAGCTGAGTGATTTGTAGTCACCTTTGGGCTCTATTGAGATATCAATTTGTTAAATAACAAACTCATGACTTTGTATAAGACTTTTTATCACAAATTTACTAAATGTGTATGATAATGTGTTTGAATTAATGTTGAATGGCAAAACCCGAAATTACTTTTGCACCAACCTAATGAATGAAAAGCATTTTAATGAGTCTGATGTCTCTCAGTGTTGACATTAGAGACGTTGCACTTTGACGTCTTTGCTAACTGTTACAACAATATCCATTTTAGGCACAAATAGCTGGGGTGCAGGGGGCAGAGCAGTGCTTTTCAGAATGTCTGAATATTTATACATGATAAAGCCTTTGAAGCTTGGTTTTAAATTGTTTTTCAAAGGGTATGTTTTTGGTTTTCTGGGAAGTGCCTCTGCAAAGTTTAGGAGTTTTGCATTGCAATAGTTTTCTTTTATTTGCAGGGATAGGCACTGTGCTTCCCAGTGCCACAAAAATAACTGCAGGAGAATACTTTGAAAAAAAGATTGTCTGAGTTGTTCTGTGTGTTGTTGCCCTCATGACACCCCTGTCTGTAACCATTTATCACTGAGACATTTTCTCATCAGCAGACAAAGGACATATTCCCTAGTTGATATGTAGGACTTCGGCTGCTTAGCCCTCATGAATGTTAATGGGAATACATCCTTCTTTCTGCCTATAGATTACTTTTCTTATTTTAATGTCAATAGACAGCGGAATTCGTGTGAAAGCCAAAGTAATAGATTTCAAGCACCTCTATAGGACCGATACCTGTATCCTTCATACAAATAACTTTCTCAAAGATATCTGCATGCTCTTGAATCATTATTTGTAGTTAACAAAGCTGCAAATAGTTAACTTTTTATTAAAATGCAAGAATCGGGTTATAATTTATTATTAGAATATACAAAAGAAGCAGTTAGCGTGAATTTTGGCCAAGGTCCAAAAAGCCAGCCAGTAGGAACAAGTATTTTGTCTTTGAGAAAAAGAATGCCCCCAGTGCTCAGCACAGTGAGAGGATTTTTAGTGTTTCAAAATCTCATCTGACAGTTTCTGTTAAAAGGCTATAGATGAAAGAATATGGAATATATGTTTTAGTCACTAACATTTAGGTTTTGTAAGTTGTCCCAGAGTAGAAGTTGTACTGAAGCGAGAGCGTAAATTGATGCAACCTGTTAGGCAATATCTATCAAAATTGGAAGTGGAATTGACTGAACTACTACATTGCTATGTAATTACCTTAGATTTACTTACAGATACATATGTGTAAGATTTAACAGATATGTTCAAGAATGTTTGCACAGTAATAGCCAAAATCTGGAAACATTCTAAATGTTTATCAGTAATTGACTGATACTTCTGGTACATTAAAACAATCTAATATTATACCTTGGTTCAAAAGAGTGAAGTTAATCTGGCATATGCTGCTTTATTCTTTCATTTACCTAAGAAGTTTTCATTGAAGAAAAACAATGCTTAAAAAGATAAATTCCCCTTACTTCTAGAGCTTGCATGACTGTAAGCATACAGAAGGATCTTTTAAATGTATTATAGTGTATTTTAGGAAGAAAAAAATAAAATAGGAGGTATGATGTTAATTCTGTGGAATAAAATTTTAAATATACATCTCCCATCCTACCCCCCGTACCCTGCTGACACACACACATACACATTCACACCCATATCTATCTATGCAGGGAGATGTATTTAATTTTTCCATCAGAAAAGTTACTCAAGGAATTTTAACATTGGCTAAAACGGACTAGATATGGCAGGGGAGTAGGCGGGAGATTTTGTCTTTTCCTCTTAGCACTTTCTATATGGGCATAATTTTTATTACTGCATGCTTTTATTATAATATTAAGAATTAACACATTTTATTTTTAGATAACTGGACTTGTTTATTCTGTAGTTAACCATCCATGTCTTAGTAATCCCTGAGTGTGTTTGTACTATGTATGCAAGTGATGAATGCCTGGAGAAAAAAACCAGATCAATTTTCTTATAAATCAAAAAATGAAAGGCTAAGAAACATTGAATTCTTTTTACAGTCCTTCTTGATTTTCCTCTGTCTGATTTCTTTCAACCCTGCTCTTTTACTCTCTGCTCCTTCCTGTTATTCCTCTTTCTATCCTCTTAGCAGCTTTTTCTGTCCGGTTTCTACTTTTCAGAAGCAGAACTAGAAAGAACTGTTGGACAGTAAGGAAATACTTAAACTAATCTCAAAAGAAGTTAAAATTAGATTATGGAGTGAAACTTTTAAAAAAACCTTCCTCATCTCTGATCTTCAAACAGCTTATGTAGAGAGAAAATTATTATGTCTCATCTCCTGAAGTTTTGGAAAAAAGAGACTGGGTGATTTGGATATGTTCTGCTAGCAGATGTACCCACATAACCTCTCTCGTTGCCTTTAATCCTGTGATTTTTAATCATAATGCTTATTATAATCATTATTTGCCATAACATGGATAAAAGAAGAGTCGCATATACTTCAGGAATCCATAGCTGTTTATAAATGCTAGTAATTAATTCATGGATGCTAAGCATGACTTGAAAACTATTTTCAAGTCTTCATCCATGCAGATATGATGAAAACTAACCTCATAAATACTATCCTTACACTCTTTAGCTAGGCGGAATGTAGGAAGGAATAGTTATGTGTTTATATTTAAGTAGACTATATAATTTGAAATGCTTTGTTTCCCATGGTCTTTATAATCACTACTGTCACATAGGCAAATCCGTGCAGGTGAATGTCCACAGAACCTGCATCCTGCTTGTTTTTATGCCTACTTACCCAGAGATTTAAGATAATAAGGCAGAATGTAATTAAGTTCACTAAACTAAAGGAAAACCTGAGGCATGACCCAGTCTATGGAATTGGGTGATGGTAGATAGTGATCACCCAGAAGTAGAGTGCAAGTCAAAATGGAGAACAGAGAGTGGACATCCAGTTCGATATCTTAGGGCTTCTGCAGAGCATTCACACAGACAGGAAAGCTAGGGAGTGGGGAAGAATAAAAGGAGAAAGGAAGAAGCAACAGCATCTTCTCTTTCTAATCTTGGTCTTTCCAGATAGAGACCACTTCTGTGACAATCTTCAGCTTAGTCAACACTATCTGACAAAACCAAGCAAGAAGTTCAAAAGCAACACTTCCACGCTCATATAAAGAGTAATAATGAGATGTACATACATACCTAAAATAAAGGCCAATGCTTATCTGACAAAATATACACAGAAATTATATCTCAACAAATGTTAATTAAGCAGCAGCTGTGTTTCAAATCCTGCTTTAAGCACCAGGGACATGCCATGAGCAGACAGACCCAGATCTTTGCCCTCTTGGAGCTTATATTCTTGTGGTGAAAGATAAAACAAAATAAATAAATGAAATTGTGTTAGATGGTGATAAGTGAATGGAGGAAAACTAAATAGGGTAAGAAGCTGCAGTGTTTGGGGTTGGGGGAGAGTCTCTACCTTGTGAAAATTCCCTCTCCCTGTGCCTAGAGTATTGGAGGAACAACAAAGATGCCAGCATGGCTGGAGCAGATTGCCCAAAGAGGGAGCTGTAGGAGATGAGGTCATATGGAGCCAAACGGGATAGGACTCTGTCAGCTATTGCAAGGACTTGGGCTTTCACTCTGAGCAAGATGGGAAACCATTGGAGGGCTCTGAGCAGAGGAGGTTATCATCTACCTTTTAAAAGGATCCCATAGGAAAATTAGGGCAGCAGCAGGAGATCAGTTAGGAGGAAATTGTAGTAACACAGGCAAAAGGAAAGATGTCTCAAATTAGAGAAAAATACCAAATATCACATTGATTTGGATTAAAAATGCTTGATTTAAGAATATTTTTTCAAAGCCCCCAACTCTATGAGGATGCTCAATTTCAGTTTTAAAGATGTTTCTCACTAGTTTCTTCTTGCATACTTTGATTAGTGACTCTGTAGTAGGGCCTCTTTTCCCCCTTAATTCCAAATGAGCCAGATTTACCACTGTAGCAATTTGTTGGATCTAAGTAAAGTTTCCATTCTGGCCTCTCACCATGTTTTCTTCTATTTACAGTTAAGATTGAGCTGAATTTTTTCCCCATTCTTCCAAGCCTTAATCCTATCTGGCTTCTAAATCCCTTCAGAATTATTTGAAGCAAATAATGCCTGCTGATTTCCAAGAATATTTTACACTTGGACTTACTTGCTTGGTGGGGTATATAGCAAGCGTAGTGGAGGCTTCCTTCCTCTCCATGCAGAATAATGTGTTTGGCCATTA